CTCTGGACAGGAAGATGGAGAACTAGGGTAAGCTATTTCCAGGAGACCAGTGACAAACTCTCCTTCCTTCCCTATAGTCATGAAGCCCCAACCATGACTCCTACCTGGCCAACGTATTCACCAGATAGATACACGTTTTCAAATTAACAGCTTTAGCAAAAACTGAAAATAGTCACTAATTTTGAGGACGATATGGGAAAATAAGGTATCTTATACAACAATTGACGAGAGAAGTGCAAATTTGGGGGGCAATTTGGCACTTGGAAATTTTTTGATGACTTAGCAATCTTCTACAAATTTATCCTACAGAAATTCCAGCCTAAATATATGAATAGGGACAAAAGTGTTTACCACAGCATATAATAAAATGGGTTAACTAATTCTTTCAGAAACATTAAACCATAGTCTTAGCTACACAATAGAATAGTAAAATTTTTTCAATGGGTAGCTACTTAAGTGCTGATATGTTTGTAAAATATACAGTGAAAGAAAGCACTGTACAGAGCAATCTGTGGAGCACGTCTCCTGTACTGTGTGTGACTGAAAGGTCTGTGGGTGTGTTGTTTATGTACAGAGTACGGTCTGGAAGCATATGCTAAACTACGGACAGTGGTTACCTCATGGCATAAGGCTTTCCGGTTTCGTTTTAATTATAATACACTATTTTAATTCTGATTTATTGATTTATTTAACAACATTGAACAAACATGTCCCAAGGACTGTTCTAGAATACAGTAGTGATTCCCAGCTAGTTGTTTTTTTTTTAAGATTTTATTTATTTAGTTTTAGAGAGGGGGAGGGCAAAAGAGAGGGAAAGAAACATCGTTGTGTTGTTGCCTCTCATGTGCCCCCTACTGGGGACCTGGCCTGCAACCAAGGCATGTGCCCTGGCTGGGAATCAAACCAGTGACCCTTTGGTTCACAGGTTGGCACTCAATCCACTGAGCAACACCAGCCAGGGCCAACTAGTTTTATTTTTGCTTCTAATCTCTGGCACTTACATCCAAGTGAGGGAAAATGTACAATATCAACAAAATAAACCCTATAGTATTTTAATATGAAATTAAAAATACAGAAGAGACAGAATGCCTCACTAAAAATGATTCTTCAGTTAAAAAAAAACGAGGAGGTTCAGGAGAGCCTGGATAAAGAACATTAGAGTATGGCAAACCACAAGGGCAAAAGGTCCTGAGGTTTGACCTGTTCTGGAAAAAGGAGGCTTGAGCAGTAAACATGGGGTGTGGTATGTCAGAAAGGGTGTGAAGTTATGAAAAGTTCTGTTCTGACTGATTCTACTCAGTGAAACAGGAATAAAAGTCATCAGGTAAAAATGAGAAAGAAGAAAGCAGCACTTTGAGGAAAGAAGGTATGAAACAGTCCAATAGAGAGCTGATATGATGAACACAGTATTACTTTTTTGAAATTGAGGTGTATTTAACATGCAATAAATTACATACAATTTGTTGTTTTGACATATGCAGATATAGTCATACCAGGATCCCATCGAGATAGGGTCCATCACCCCCATTTCATCATGCCCCTTGGAAACCCCTCCAAGTTCCTCCTCACCACCCCCACTGATCTGTGGATTTCTGTTGGTTACTTTGCATTTTCTAGAATTTTACATAAATGGAAGTATTCAGTGCCTTTTGGTCTACTTTCACTTAGCACAGTTATTTGAGATTTGTGCATGTTGTGTATATCAATAGTTGCTTTTCATTGTATGAATAATTGTTTACCCATTCACCTGTTAATGAGCATGTGGATTGTTTCCAGCTTTAGGCCATTATGAGTAAGAGTACTATGAACACTAGTGTACAAGTATTCATATGGACTTAACGTTCCCTTCCCTCGGTAAATAACTAGGAGTGGTAAGTACATATTTTAACCTTTAAGAGATGCCCTACTGTTTTCCACATTAGTTGTATCACTTTCTATTCCCTCCAGAGAGTATGAGAATGCCAGTTCTTCCATATTCTCACCAGCACATGGCACCATTAGTTTTAATTTTAGCCTAATAGATATGTGGTGGTATCACACTGTGATTTTAACATGCATTTTCTTAATGTCTAATGATGTTGAACAGCTTTGCATGTGTTTATTTCCCATCTGTATACCATCTTTAGTCTTTTTAAATATTCTGCCCATTTTTTAAATCAGCAAATAGGTTTTCTTACTATAGAATTTTGAGATTTCTTTATTCTGAATTCACATCCTTCATCAAATGTTTGGCAAATATTTCCTGCCACTCCATGGCTTGTCTTTTTGTTCTCTCAACAGTATGTTTCAAAAAACAGACATTTTTAATTTTGATAAAGTCCATTCAATTTTTTCTTCTATGGATTATGCTTTTGGGGTTGTATCTAAATCCATGACTAACCCAAGGCTGAACATTTTTCTTTTTCTTCTTCTAGAAGTTTATAGTTTGGAGTGAAATATAGTCCTATATTTAGGACTATAATTCATTTTAATTATTACACTGAGATATAATTTTTAATTTTGCACCTGGATGTCCAATTACTCCATCACCATTTGTTTGGCTTTTGTACCTTTGACAAAATCAGCCATCCATATACATGCAGGTGTGGGTCTCTTTCTAGACTCTATTCTGCTCCATCAGACCAATGATTTGTGCAATGAGCAGGGGTTCATCCCTTTAGGCAAAAAACCAAAGTGAATGAATGAATGGGCTTTGTGAACAAGCTTGTATCACATTAGTTACTGAACAAACAAGAAAAACACAGCAATTACCTGTTACCTATGTAACATTTCAGAAAGATGATTAAACAATGTAAAGTGCAAGGGACCTCCACCCCAGCTGCCGGCTGTCGCCTGAGGAGGGCAAAGTGTGGAACTGAGTGAAGGAGACTGCAGAAGGTTGAAAGAGGGATCACGGGGGGGGGGGGGGGGGGGGGGGGGGAGAAGTGCCTAGATACACAAAGTAATGATTAAGGACACACCTAGGTCATCACAGAATCCCCTCCAGGCAGATCCTGTGTGTCTCCTGTGGCATTTTATTACTTTCTCTAATACAGCCTTTGATCCTTTTTCTGTTATTTTCCACTCTAAGTGGGCTCGTTGAAGGCAGACCCCATGGTTCATTCAACTATGGTGTTAAGTACAGTGAGGGGAACAAAACACACACACCAGAAAAGCACGAGGTGGGGGCAGGGAGAATGGTTAAGAGGAGAAAATGTTACCTCCTCAGACCCTTAATCCACTTCTGGTATGGGTTCTGTTTTCGACGAGTCAGGCTGCAAACTGTGGGTGGGAAGTGGGATTAATGGTCACTTTCTGAGACTCACCATGCAATTTCCTGTGTGTAAAATTTCAGCTTCATAGATTAAAGATGCTCTGTGGTTCAAACAGCATTTTGCCTACCACCACCACATTTAAAATAAATATGTATGTACTTGATTTTAAAAAGTCATTGAAAAAAAAATGAACCTAAAAACAAATAAAAATTAGAAATAAAAAGATCTCTTCATACAGGACACTCAGCAGGGAAAAAGACCCACGTAGAGCCCTCTCCTTTTCCTCTGAGCCTTATGGGCAACTATGTAAAATGGATTTGATTGGTGTTACTCCATCCAAGTATCCACCTAAAAGAGGCAACCTGGTGAAGCTTCCACGTTTGGATCTTGTAGTTGAGGCACAGAGGCGGGTGGCACAGGACAGAGGGGCTTTCCACCTTCACGGTGCCGATGGTCTGTAGTTACCATGAGGGGCAGAGGACAGGTGTGTCCTCTGCAACTGCCACTTTAAATTTATACTTAGAACAAAGGGGCTACGACCACAGGTAACTTCAGTGAATTCTTCTTCTTCCACAATTATGTTAAGAGATCTTGGATAATCTACTTATGCTAATAATACACATTTCTGTGATTCTGAAGCAATCTTGCAATAAAGCAAAAACCAACCAAAAAACTAGGCTACAACTAACATTCACTTTATTCGGTTTTGTTCTGTCAACTTAGAAGACAACAAATGACCACATAAAAAGGGGAGCATTTTAGAATATATACATAAAATCAGTCTGGGTATCTAAGGTGTTTGCTTTAATAGAAAACTGGCATTCCAGTTTTCTAACACAAATAACTAAGTGTTCTATTTAGTTTCTACAGCAGTCCATGTCTAGGCCTTACGGTCATTATATATTCACTTAAGGTACTATATTACTGTCATGACTAAAAAATGAGGCACTGTAAAAAACAGATGGGAATAAAAACAAATATATACTGTCTTATCTTTATCCTGTACTAATGCTGAGATATAGTCAGAGACTATTTGAAAGTAGCCCTTGCTCATGCTGGCTGTTAAAAAACAAAACAAAACAAAACAAAACAAAACAAAACCCTGGCCAATGTGGCTCAGTTGGTTGGAGCATCCTCCCATAAACCAAAACGTTACAGGTTCAATTTCCAGTCAGGGCACACCCGTAAATTACGGGTTCGGTCCCCAGTTGGGGTGCATATGAGGCCACTGATGGGATGTCTGTCTCTCACATCAATGTTTCTCTCCCTCTCTCTCCTCCTCCCCCTAAAATCAATAAGCATGTCCTCAGGTGAGGATTAAAAAAATTTTTTTAAAGACACAGAGTAGTAAGTGGGCTGAAAACATGTGACTGAGAGAGCAAATTAAGTAAAAGGATACAAGACAGCGCCAGCAAGTAAATCAGAGAATCTCCACAAATAAGGCTTTCAATAACACTTTAGTAGTAAGGCATTTCACTTTTGTCTTTTCTTGATTGTGACTCATTAGGTATCATTCTACAGGAGAATTTTTAACATAATTATTTAATTTTACAATGTAAAAAATAGGTCACAGTAGAGGACTTAAAATACTCAATCCCGAAAATAAGTAGTTAACTTGCCAAGTTTTAAAAAGTGCCAGTGTTCACATACTGGTGCTACAGTTTCGTGTGAGGGTGAATGCAATACCATGTAGAAATGTCCACTGTTTCTTTGTATTGTTTTTAAAAGTCATCAATTCAACCTAAATTCAAGAATTACACTTTAATAATAACATTTTGCCAATAAAGAAATTACATATCTGAGATCAAATCATTTGACAAAAAGTTATTCTCTATTTCTTAAATAAGGGCAAGAAAAAAACACAAAACAAAAATCCACAGTAATAACAGCTCTATTAAATGTTGAAATAAAAATTACTTTTGTTTTCATTTGGAGTTGAGATGTCCGATACCCACTGTTTCTCTGCAGAACAGGAAAAGATCACCTAAAACATGGAGCTCTTTAAAGCTAGCCTCCTAACACAAACTTCACGTTGGCATTTCTCTTCAGTTTTCATTTCAACTATTAGTACTTAGTAGTTTAAAAATCAAACATAATTTGCTAATAATGAACAACAGTATACCTCATACTATGACCATTTGGTAACTGGTCATGAAAAACTAACCCTAAATGTTGACTTGTCTTCACTTTATAAAGGTAAAGCAAAAAGGTCTTCTTTGCTAATTAACCTCCTTGAAGAATATTTTAGCCCAATGTAAAATGAAGCAAAACTACACTATTTTTAAAAATAAATTCTACATGAAGAAGGGCAGCAATACTAACAGTTCCTAAACTAAAGATTTCAAACATCTGTAAGACTGGTCAGTCAAATCTTGGTGCTACCCACATAAACAGTATGACAAGAGATGCTTTTCTATGAAAGTATTCATCTTTTTGAAAACAGGACAAATCACAACGGAAAAACTAAAGGAAAATCATTAAATAAGACAAGATAAAGTTATCTGAAAGTGAAACGCAGGGCAACCTTTTGGCCATTCATATATATATATATATATATATTTTACAAAATATCTGGTAAGATTCATTTAAAATTTTGTAGAATAACAATTTTTAAACTGTTGTGGTATCTGCCTATATCTTTGTGGTAAAACAGATAAATATGTTTCAATGACTTTATATCAAGATCTACAAAGTCTCTGAAAAATTAAAAAAGAAACCTAAGTTAATATAATCAAATTATATACCAAATTTTGTAGCGTATTTCTCTATTGTATAGACATTAACCATGGCAGGTGACATTTTAAAATGCTCCTTATTTTTCACAGTAGGACTAAATTTCTAAGTGAAGGCAGGAATCGCAAAGACCTTACTTTAAATACAAGAGAAAAGGCCTACTGCAGACTGCCAAAAAAGTGTAACACTGAATCCTATGTCAAGCTTTGTTTTTTGATACTGATATTTTAAAATATATTTTAAAGTAATTGCTTACCACTTTGGGAAAAATTGTTCAACTATAAAACCACCAGAATACATTTCTTTTGATTTCAGTAGCTTATGTTTGGCTGACTTTCAAATTTTAAAAATCCTCAGATTTGAGTCTATGGCCTTTAATACTATATGGAACTTCTTGTATGGTTTCTGAAGAACTATGCTTTTCATTTTCTCTGAGAGCTTTAGTTATCATTAGAGAACAGACACTATCCACACAAGAAACCATGATCATCAAATATCTGGATCATGTGCCCAACTGTTCTATTTCCCTAAACTTCTACCTGAAGCTTTGGTTATAAGGGAAAACCATGTTTGTGTTCAGTTTTCAGATTTCACAGCACATTTCCAATAAAATACATTCTGTACTCCTCTGTTAAACAGCCAGCTCAGCCGTGTTCCTTCTGGACAAATAAAATCACCTTGGTTTTGTTTGTGGTTTTATTCTGTAAACAAAAAGCTCTGGAAACCTCAGGATTTACTCACAGAAAACAAGAAATGTACTCCCTAATCCTCACCCAGCAATGCACCAGCCAGTAGGACTAAGTGTCCTAACAGTCTTCTGATGCTGTTGATCTCAGACCAGAAACCTTGTCTACATCTAAGGGACATGAGTATGTTGTGATTTCAGTCAGATGCAGTGCAGTGTCCTAGGTGATGTTATTTTGTAAGACTTATGAACTTGCATGACGTATACCACTGCTGCCAAAAAAAAAAAAAGACACGTGTATGGGGAAAAGTGGGGGTGAAGGGACTAATGAAAATCTTTTGGACTTTTTCCCCCCTCTAAGTATAGTCATGCCCCTAACAAGCACAAAAACCCAACTCCCAATGCTAATCACTATGAATATTAAATTATCAAAATTAAAAACCATTTCCCCACCGAGCACAAGATACTATACAATATTACAAACACAGACACATGAAAAAAATCAGGCAGTAGAAAATGTACAACAGCTTTGGTGTTATACAAAGTAACTTCCAAAAACGACTGACAGTGAAGCACGAAGTTCATGTTTCCTTACCGCAGACGCTCCACTGCTGATTTCCGTTTGTCTTTTATGTTCTTGGTAAGGTGTCAATAGCCAAGACAGACTGAACGTACAGTTTACTTAATGAGAACTGATAGGAACACATGACACTGTGCTCCAGGAGATGTCATTAGTACGTCCTGCCTCTGCACTGTGGCTCTGTGGCACGTTTCCTGTCAAGATCACAGCAGGTCCAAAATAAAGTGACAACTAGATTTAATAAATTAATATACATTTGTTTAAAGATGTACAATGCACATTCTGTTTAATCCAAGGTTTGGGGTATCCAGGAACTTCTATTTACACATGTACAGATCTCAAACAGCAGTGATGTCAGAAGACGCAGAAAGGCAGCGGAGCCTTAAGCTGCGGCTCTCTCCAAATGCTGAGAACACAAGTCGAATACATTTAACTTAAAAACAATGCTGAGAGATCACTGGGAAAAATCTCCAAAAAGAGAAGTCCACAGAAAAGGACATGTAAAGGCAAGGGGAAGGTCAAGGTAGTTGAGACAACCATTTTATTCTTGGGATGACTGTGGAGGTGGCGAAGATGTGCCTTGTTTGCCAGATTTCCGTTCGTAGTTTACAAGGCGTTGGCCCACAAGGTACCTTAAATGTAAAAAACAGGGTGGTTACTCTATGATCTTACATATTAAAACATTCTTCCAAAAAGCAGTCAGTGATACTTTTTAAAAATGCAAATCAGATCACTTCACTCCTACTTCCGTGACTAGGTAGGTAGAAGGAGAATCTGGATGAATACTTGCTAAAAGCACAAAAGCAAGCCCCGAATAGCAAAGAGCAGAAGGCCTCAGATGTGTACAATGGAGCACATGCCCCAGTCCACCGGTTGGGGCTTCTCATGAACTCAAACACTCAAGAGGCCAGAGGAGTAAATAAGGCAGAGTAAACTTATGCAGGGGATTTATCTATATGGATAGTATTTTATGAAACACCTTAGTGGACTGATCCGAAGAAACGTACCGGAAATACAATAATCAGAAAGGTTGCCTCTCGCGTACCCTCTGCTAGGGACCTGGCCCACAACGCAGGCATGCGCCCTAGACTGGGAATCAAACTAGCGACCCTCTGGTGCACAGGCCAGCACTCAATTCACTGAGCCACACCAGCCAGACCCCTTTTCAGTGGACCTGAACACCTCTAGTTCTAAAGAATAGGATAAATTAAAGGACAAAGATTTCAGCGATGTCAAAGGGGAGACAACAGAGAAGTGAGTGTATGTGAGTGACAGAAGGTAGGAGGCTATGGTGCAAGGGAAGAACATGACATGTTCCTAACTCCTGTGACATGATGACAGGGAGATTATGGTCAAGAGAGCAGGAAGGCAGAAAAAGAGAAAGAAGTAACTGGCTGCAATCTGACAACACCGGAAGTCCTCCACCAGGACACTGCATGCCCATGACAATGGCAGGCACTGCGATATGCCTTACTGTTGAATGACCTGCAGCCTGAGCCCTGGAAACCGGTGGGTGACAAAACTGTGGCCATGAGCTAGAGGGGCCTAGAGCACAAGTGTGCCAGTGCCCATTTGGGAGCATGAGTGCAGATCAAGCAGTGCCCAGGAAGACTTCGGCAAGACAAGAGAAGTGAGAAAATGGACTTCCATTACTGAAGCCCCCCTCCCCCTTCTTTCATGTTTGATGGAACTTTGTACTCTGACCACCACCTAAAAGTGTACTGGTGTTTTCAACGGTCAGTAAATGCTTTGGGGAAGCCTTGGGCACTCTGAAATTTCATTCCTAAAAATACTACTCTTACAAGTCCTTAGAGGAAATAAGGTGAGCACATAATGTGCTGTCTAAACTGGGGAACCCCTGAGTCCAAAGGGTGCTGTGAATGATGACATGAAGGCGCCATGTGTGAACTGGGGCTCTCCCAGGCAAGCCCGGAAGGACGCTTACAACTCACCTTCTTTGCCAGACACCACTGAAGCAGAGCAGAACTCAGCCTTCCATAAGGAAATGGAAGGTCAAATGGCTATTCTCCCCAAAAGCTATTGTCTGTCTCTAGCTGTCCTCAATCTCTCGCTGCGGTCAGGTCACCATTTCCTCCAAAGAGAAGGCTCCACACTTTTGTAGTAAGCCTTGCCACCTCTCTCAGCAGTGGTCAAAGTAACCTACTGACTCTTGATTACAAAAATGGCTTAGGAAGGTATTGCTAATTCGTAACACAGGCTTCTTTTTATCTCAAACTATTTAATATATTGTCAGATCAAAGAATTTGACTGAAAACTATGTGAAATAGGCATTAAAAAAAAATGTTCCACCCTGGCTGGTGTAGCTCAGTGGATTGAGCGCGAGCCTGCGAACCAAACAACCATGGTTCGGTTCCCAGTCAGGGCACATGCCTGGGTTGCAGGCCAGTTCCCAGCAGGGGACACACAAAAGGAAACCACACATTGATATTTTTCTCCCTCTCTCTCCTTCTCTTCCCCTCTCTCTAAAAATAAATAAATAAAATCTTAAAAAAAAAAATGTTCCTCCCCAAACCAGTTTCTCCCAGTCTTTTCATACACACCAGCAATTTTCAACCTATTTCATCTCATGGCACACATAAACTAATTAATAAAATTCTGCAGCACACCAAAAATATACAGGTTTTTATGATCTAACAAAGAAAATGGGTATAATTTCGATTTATTCATACCAGATGACTATTGTTTTATTGGCTGTTGTCATTTTTTTATTTGACAATCTAAGGAAATAGAGGTCAGTGCCCCTGACTAAACAGTCAGGTGTTGCATGGTTTAAAAACTCCTGTGGAACAAGTTGAAAACCTGATCTACATACATGACAACTCCATACTGCCAGGAGCTCAGCCCAGCAGAGTTTCTGGTAACTCTCTCTTTCACATCCTCGCACAATCTGTCACCAAATCCTATTCCACCTCAATGTACATACAGAATCTAAGCAATTTTTCCTCCTATGACTTATCACATTAGACACAAAAATTAAGGGATGAGAAATCTTATCAAGAGTGGCAGATGAATGGAAGTCTAGACTTACTTGTCATTTTTAATATGTTCATAAAGGCGCTTAAACTGGCGGACCTGGAAGGACAAGATGCCCATCAATACCACAACCATCAATAAGAATGGGTAAATCCTCCGGTGGACCAAGTTTTGCATTTCTTCAGTAACACCTGTAAAACCAAAAAAGAGGAAAGCTATTAAGTGTACATGGAATGACAGTGAAATGAAAATCTGTCCTTTCACTAAGAACAGGGGACTGGATGGTGGTGCTTAACTGAAACTTGTTGCATGTGAAATGAAGTAAGGCAACCATCGAGGTCAGACTGGAGCTGGTCATAGCACAAAGGGGGAGCCTTTGAACTAAGCGTAGGAGCTGAGTTATATTCTAAAGGCCATGGAGGAACCAAAGAAGAATGTTTACCAAAGAGAAACAATGAGATTTGGTCTTCTGAAAGGTCACCGATGCAGCAGTATAAAAAATCAATTAGTTGTCAAAGCAGGGAAACCAGACAGGAGGCTGCTGGCATTAAAGTGAGAGGTAACGTACACCTCAATGAATAACAGGTGAGGGCACCAGAAATGAGAGAATGGATTCCAACCGCTGGATCAGTGAGACTTGAAGACCGTTTGAGTAGGGAGAGCAGAAGAGCCTCAGGGGATATGAATGACCTTCATGGTTTCTTACTCATGCAACTTGTTGAACGGTAACACTAATCATTGAGAAGGGAATTCAGAAGAAAAATATTTGGAGGGGAAAACTTTGTGCTTATAACTAAATATATGTGGGGTTTAAGATCCTGTGAAGGTTCTTCGGTATAAAATTGATCTGGTTGACTCAGTATCACAAATTAGCATCTTCTCTTTGGTTTTCTTTTTATGCTAAAGACCATTTTTAGAATTAATTATAACGTGATCACAGCACTTCTAGTCAAGAGAAGACAACATGTAGGAAATCTATTCCTGCCTATTTTGGGGACAGTGTAAATGTAAATACTTTCTCACTGGCCTAGAGAAAAAAAAAAACTGTACCAAAAGGCTTTATGATCCTTTTCATTTTGTCATGAATAATCAAATCTAAGATAAATGATTTTTTAAAATCATTGTTTTAGCTGAATTTGTTTTTATAAATAAAGCATTTGGTGCCAGCCAGCCTATGGTACAAGAAGTGATAACAGTATAACAATGTTCAAAAACATGCCCTCCCCAGACCCCCAGCCAGCGCTCCTCACCTAATAAAGGAACAACGCCAGCCGCGATGACGTAAGGGACACACAGGGACAGTAAGAGCACAGAAATCACAGGTGCTGCCAGTTTACGAATGATATAGTGAAGATCAATGTTTCGGATACCATTTGCATAAACCTGGAAAATGGGGAAACGTGTCGGAACAAGGATACAAAACAATTCTCCCAGGTTAACAGAACAATCTCTACTGAATCCATGCTGCAGGGAGTCGAGTCTTCCAGACCCAAAGGATTCAAACTGGTTATTTTTTCCATCCAAAGTCAAGACAAATTCTGAAACACAAACATAAGCGTGGGACCCACAAGTTTTTAACTCCTTACACTTTGTAGTTAACTCTGCTAAGAAATGAAATAATAAAACACTAATCTAGAATTATAACTATACTAACCTTGAGCTATATAATACCAGATGGCATCTAATAACATTAGTTTAAGACCACATTAACTTGAGATAACTTCATAAATCATCTATTACTACTCAATACTGCATTCATTTTATCTGAATATTAAAAACATTAACCCTGGCCTGAAGTGGCTCAGTCAATTGAGTGCCGGCCTGCAAATCAAAAGGTCACCAGTTCAATTCCCAGTCAGAGCACATGTCTGGGTGTGGTTGGGGGTCTAGCAAGAGGCATCCAATAGATGTACCTCTCACACATCAATGTTTCTCTTGCTCTTTTTCCCTCCCTTCCCCCTCTCTAAAAATAAATAAATAAAATCTAAAAAAAGTTCAAAAAATACATTATAAACAAAGAACATATTTCTGAAAAACTTGTATAAATCAAATTTTAACCAAAAGGTATTTTATAGAAAACTTCAGTATAAGTGAATTCTGCAGTGAATACATTTTTTAATTCAAAAATTTCTTAGCCCTGGCTGGTGTAGCTCAGTGGATTGAGCACGGGCCTGTGAACCAAAAGATCACGGTTCGATTCCCCGTCAGGGCACATGCCTGGGTTGCAGGCCAGTTCCCAGCAGGGGCCAGTTCCCAGCAGGGGACGCACCAGAAGCAACCATACATTGATATTTCTCTCCTTCCCTTCCCTTCTAAAGATAAATAAATAAAAATTTTTTAAATTTTCTAGAGCATTTCCGTAATCTTACCCAGAAAGTTCTAGTGGCTAGCACCACAGAGATAAGAATGAATGAAAGGGAGAAGACCTTGGGAATAATGGAAAATAAAGATGGCATGCAGACGGGCAAACTGGCTGTGTTATTCTTATTTTTCTCCAGCACTTTGACCTTGCTTGCCCACAGTCACGCCTCATGGTACAACTCACCCTATCCCTGAGGAGAGGGCCAGAGACAATGACAACCTGGCTTCATCCCCTAAGGGCAGCTTCTGATCCCAAAGAAATCTACTTAACCCAGATGCATTTACACTCATGCAGCAAGGCGTCCCAGTGTTTCTCAACCACTTTAAACTTACACATATGTCTGAGAAAAGAACGCATCAGAGAGCAAAACGTTCAGTGTTACAAAGATCAACAATGTCTCACAGCTGCCAGCTGTGATTAAACCCTTATTCTCCATACTCCTTTGCAAGGGCAAAGGTGTCTTACCTGGCAACTCTACAGTGAAGTGGCTCATCCTCCTACCATGAGTGGACATGCTGCCGTGCACCCACAGTGCACTTCACTTCCGGGCACTCACAGAGAAAGGCCGCACTTGAGAGACGCGTGCACAGGCAGAGCCATGCCCTGGCCCTCCCCACCCTCACAAATCTCCACATACAGGAGTTTTTTTTTACAATTTTTCTTGTGCAGACTGGGCTGAAAACTACTGCCTTTATTTTCTATACATCAAAATGAGATGTTCCTTTTACTGCTACAGAACTACAACCCCTTATTTATTTGGCACTGGATAAGGATAAGAGGATTGCCCCACAAGAACACTTTCTAGATATAAGTAAAACTTAAGTAATTCCCAAATTCTGTTATGTTGGCTATTTTGGACAGAAATCTTCCTAAAATAAACTGCATACTTCTTAGCCTTATTATCAGAATACAGAAGCACATTTATCTTTTTCAAGGTTATGATCACAATGACCAAATTATCTAATGGTTCCATAATACAAAAATACTCTTAGGTGCAACATAGCTAAAATACTGCCAAACAACTCTGCTTTTTTAATCTATTATTTTTTTTCCTTTTATTCACTGCCTTGAATAGCTTTTTTCCCCTACAACAAGTTTAAGGAACCTAAACAACAAGCTTCCATCAGAACTCCTGCCCCACCAAAAGCACATATGCTAATTTTTGCCTTTACTTTGTATAAAGTTCTAGGTACTGTAAGCTACTGGTTAACCTTCAGATAAGGTAAGTCTTAAGAGTGATTGATACAAATTCATGGTGATAAAGGAGCAAATTAACTTAAAAAAAAGAGTTATATATGCTCATAAAAGAAGATACAGAAAACTTGGAAAAGTTAAAAAATGAAAAATAGGTCCCATCAATGGAATCAGTATTACTCCCAGTCTTTTTCAGAAAAGTGATTCTGTTTACCTGCTCAATCACAGTTTTCAACCACCACTGAGGACCCATCAATGTTATAGCTGCAATGATTTTGGCGTGCAAGACTCCAAGTGCCCAGTCCTAGGTTAATAAAAAAACATTTAACAAATTTGTATTATTCTTTTTAGCAATAAACCCAACAAAGAGGCTATATAATTTTCTTAATTATTTCATTTCAAAACTCAAGCCCTACAGGATGACTGAGACTTACATAAGACTAACATATGCTGGAAAATACAGGAAATATTTTCCCTCAGCGGTTCAAGTTCAACATTTCTATCAAAAATCATTCTTGTATCTTTCAGAAATCTGCATCATTTTAGGAAAAGAGAACTAGGAAAATTAGGAACATTGACGGAGATCTCATAGAACAAATATAAAATAGTGCCATGATTTTATTTCATCAAACCATCTTATTAGACTGTAGCTCAGCTGATCATAACAAAGTAAGATTGTGGAGGCATGTTTGGCCTAAAGAAACCACCCCGATGCTCACAGAGTGCTTCTAACCCAGTGAATTCATAGTTCTGCTGAACTGCTACTAGAGCCTCCACTGCTACACCAGGCTCCTCAATGTGGGAGATGCCTGAGGGGATCACTGAGGTTCAAGCTCCTTCAAGATCCATTCTTTCCAGTCTTTTCCCATAGCGAGGACACAGCACACTAGTTCCTCTGCTGAAATCCCTCAGATTCCCACAGATCTGCAGCCGGATGAGGCAAGAAAGGCAAGTAGCATAAAGTCAGAAATCAAGAAAAAAACAGCTGTTCTGTTTTCAAAGTTTGGGGTTTCACTATTAGGAACATCATGCTGCACATATCTGTCTACAACTTGTGTTTATCCCTTACTCAAAAACATACCTGAGGGATACCTATAAGAAGATATACAGCTCTACTTTATTAACTGCTGCACTGAATTCCAAATCGAATCAAAGGCCTACGACATTTTATTTAGTCACTCTACTGGTGGATATCTAGGTTGCTTTTAATTTTTTTGACATTATAAAAAAGTGATATAATAGCAGAAACAGCCTTGTTCTTGCCTCCTTCTACATTCACATGTGTAAATGTCTTTGTAGCAGATTCTGAAGAGCAAAACTGCTAGGTCACAATATATAATCATTCTTAAAATGAATAGGTTCAAATAATTCTCCAAAATAACAATGTTGGGTACTGTCAAGACCACCAAGAAAACACATGTAACTAGGTAAGTTGCATTCAGTCCTCACTGAGGTGAGGGAGAACACAGCATGGGGAACTGGGGGTACTTAGTAACAGCATGTTAGAAAGGGGTTGATACAGGATTTTGGCTTATGGGAGGGGACTTAAGGAAGCAAAGCTTTGCTCTGTGTCAGATGTTATTAGAAGGCAGAGAATCTATAATTGGGTATCTTATTAAATCAGACTGAGGGACAGACTGAAGCTAAAACTATATATTGGTAATAAAGCAGCACCCAATCATATTTGCCAGGACAGGGGATATTTGGTCATTATTGTGGTTTGGACAATACTTATGTTTTACCTGTGTTCAGACATGACTATGGCAGGAGTCTTATTTTTGTCTTGATCCATCATGGTCAGAGTGATCTTATGTAATGCCGATGTTCTGTGAAATTGTTTACACCCAACAAAACACCAAGGCCTAGCTGATAGTGCCAGGGCAGCTCCTGGATGCCAGGGCTACCTCGCTTTTTCAGTGCAGCACCCTGCATATCTGGAGGCACATACCATCTGTTTAATGCATCTGCAGCAATCACTGGGTTAAGGTAACATTCACCTGACCCCTCCACTATAAAGATTTGTTTCTCTGTGAGACTATGAAGTAATCTCTAAGGTATCACTTTGCCACCGTGCACTGTCGTATCAAAGCATGCCAGCAAATTCTTTTCCCATTGAGGGGTAGAGGTCTACTTCCCCTTCCCTTGAATCTGGACCAACCTCTGTGACTTGTTCCCAGTAGAATATAATGAAAAATGAAGCTGGACTACTGAGATATGGTCCTAAAAGGAGATGCAGCTTCTATCTTACTGGTTGGGACACTGGTAGCCCAACTTTCTTGAGGCTACCAAGTTGCAAGGAAGCCGGGGTACATCCAGTGGCTCCAGCCAACAGCCCAGATTGGGTGTAACCAACAACTAGCATTGACCCTCAGTGATGATGCCTCCAAATGACTCCAGCCCCAGCTGTCAAATCACACTCAGCCGTGGAGTGTTTCTAAGATAACATGGAGCAGAGACAAGCTGAAGCCTCAACTAGTCTTAATTTCTTACCCACAGACTCTTTGGACAATATAAATCATTGTTTTAAGCCACTAAGTGTGAGGTAACTGATTATGCAGAAATAGTAACTCAAGACCCATCAACCCTCACCAGATGGGTTCAACATTCACTAACAATTCTTGCTGGAATCAATTTTTTGTTAACTAGCACAAAACAGTGATTTTCTAATCTGTTAATCCCTCTATCTTTATCAGCTGGTGTTGTTCTTCAAAAATGTTTCCCCTCAATCACCGATTCAGTTTGACTACACTGCAACACAGCTCCCACAGGCATTACATAAGCCTTATTACTTTACTCTCACTTTTCTCTCCCATTCTAACTTATCAGCACACTGGCTTAGAGGCAGTTAACTACATATTCATCCTCTTGCTCACTCTGTGGTCTGCCCACTCACTCCCTCCTAGAACACACTTCTTGATTGTTTACCCACTTCTCTCTACTACATTGTCTTAGACACTACCTCCTAGAGAAAAATCATTATTGGAAACTCCCAAAGCTGGTTAAATACCTCTCCTATGTGATACCATAGCTCCTTGTGCTTGTATCAATCACTGCACAGTTTACATGGGTACCTGTCTATCTTTCCCACCAGCATGAGGTCCTCAAAAAACTCCTGCATTAGCCCCATTTCATTTCCACCTGAGTTATGCAGTACAGGGTTTGGGCACACATTAAAGCACTCAATTATATGTTTGCTGTTAGATGAAGTTTGTAGTCTGGAAAGCATAGAAGAAGGGAAGTATGTACCAAATAATGTTCATTTTCAGAAAATCCATCGTAATATATTATGAGGAGGTAAAAACAAGGCTGAAATAGCCTTTGAATGACTGAAGTCAATGCCTAGCTCTCTCCTCTAACATCTCTTAGAAACTTGAGGTCCATGACATTAACTTCAGGCTCTAAGTACTACAGTTAAGTTAAATTTTTCCCCAGAAGCTTTAAGATTTTTGCTGTGACCTACATAGGTTTCTCCAAAATGCTCTAGCCCCATAAGTTCTATGACACTGTGAGATAAATGCTATAATTATTCAAAAGTATAAGTTATTGCTTAGTCTCAAAGCCAAAGAAGCTGGATGTCCTGCCCTAACTAAAAGGTAAAAAGATCAACACATGTTAGTTTGTATCATCAAACATTAGTGAAGCCTAAATGAATAATCACATTTTAACCTATAAAATAAGGTCTAAAGGACTTACATAACCTGCATACCTGGAAAGCCATAGATTGAAATACATTATTTAATGTTACAAAGGTCTTCCCTGAAATAGAATTAAGGAGTCTTCCCAAACAAACTGCTTAAAATCAAAAGTAGTATCAAGTGCAAAAGATCGCACTTACCTGCCACGGGTAAAACAGAGGAGTCTGATCCAAGGGAACCCTCAGAGGAGCAACAATAACCAGCTCAAAAAGGAGCCCCAGAAGGAGCGGGACGACTCCAGCCAGCAGCACCGCAACTATCAAAGTCTTCATTATCTAATTAAGAAATGAGAGGCCATGTCATTAATGAAAGACTTTCTGACTTTTAGCCCAGCTCTTCATTCCATTGGGAAGTTAATTTTTCTTCATTGACCTTATGTCTAAGAGAATGAATATATTACCATAAACAACGTAAATATATATTATGCTACATGTTTAAGTGAAATTTGAATATATAACTATAAAAGCTTAAGCTATAATGAAAACATGATATTACTATGCTTTGCTGCTACAAAGTTATAAAAACTTCATTTTATTACATATATTAACCAGGTGGCTGTGCTGCTTTTCTCAATCTCATTCTCAGTAGTCGGCTTTCATTTGTCCAAGAAAAGCTACTGATCCAATGGTGACCGACCCACAAGCTGACCTGTGACCCCTGGGATGAACTGGTATTGAAGGGCTCTGCATAGCCCTAATTAAGGTAATTAATCAAGCTGATCAAAGTGGAGCCCTCTAAAACAGTGTGGTCCAACAGAACTTACTATGCTAACAGAAATGACTGTATCTGTATTACCCAATATGGTAGTCATTAGCCACATGGCTACTGTGTTAGACAGTGCAGGTCTAGAATTCAGACACACTGGCCACTATGAAATCCTAACAAAGAAATCAGTCTTTATAGCAGCCTTAACGTCTGATGATCTCACTATTCTTAAGACAGCCTCAGTGAGTACATTTGTTTCAATAAGAGAGTAATCTGGTATGCATGAAGACACAGTCAGTACACTGTTACTTTAAATGGCAAACTGATGATACGGAAGAACATCAAATGAAAACTAGAATTAGCTGATTTCTTTCTTTATTTTAAAATATAGTTAGATGTCTCATTATCCTATGGATTAGATTTATCCCTCTTCTTACAATATACAATAAATCCCTTGTGGTTTTTTTTTCAACTTTATTATTAAATCAATATAAAACTTTCAATAAAACCAAAACATAAATTTAGATACAAAACAAGAGTTGGTTACACAAATGAAAAGGCATAAGCAATTACCTAACTACACTTTACAAGTCATGGCTAACATTAAAATCAATCAATAAATTGTCACACTTGGACCATCTTAGAGTGACATTTTCCCACCACCTTTGTGGCAGTTAAATTCTTTATTGAAAGTAAAAATTTCCATTATTTACTACACTTTCATGTTAGCCAAGACATTCCTGAATAAGCAATATATTGTGTGATTAAAGGACTCCCAATTACATGAAAAACACTGACTCAATCCTTAAGTCAAGATTTTATATATTCAAATACATCAAAAAATCTAATTTTAGAAAAAAAATTGTTAAAAAAATTTCTATTAAACAAACTGATTTTAAATTCTACAGAATACTTTACTCCTTAAAAATGTAATCAATCTCCAAAATAAGTTTCTATTATATTATTTACTCAAGACATTACTGGCTCACTTAATAACATAATTTTCTCTTACCTCTCACATACATTTAACTGTGCTTTTTAGAATGAACCAGAAAGCTACTGTCTTAAAGGACTATCCCTTCTGATTCAAGAAAATCAACTCTTGACACTATCCAGATAATGAAGAAACATTTAAAGAAATTATTGAAAAAATATCCACTACTCCTATTAGACAAGATCAGTCTTCACTAGAAAAACCTACCATGAGGGACCACTCTTTAACCTTCTGAAAGATCACCCTGCGTCCCTGGGGCATCCATGCCACCAGCACTGTCACCGCCCTTATAGTCAGCCAGCAGACGTAGAGACCACAAGCAGCTGTGTAGAGCTCATGAATTTTGGCAGTCCCCGTCCAAAATGACATTAACCAGCGGCCAGCAAATACTGAAAATAGAAAGACTGATAAATGAGACATTGGCTACAAAAAAAGAACTATAATCTTGATGTTAATATTGTTCTATTGGTATTTTCAACCATTTTAAGTAATTAGTCAAAAAACAGCACATTTTGATATATCAGTATCTTTATTAAAAGCAATAAACCAAAAACAAAATAACAAAAAACAAACCCCCCAAACTTCAAAGAACATGATTATCTGATTAAAATGCAACCAAAACACAGCTAATCCCTGGGAACTAGCCCTCCTAAACTAGCCATGCCCATTACTTGTTCTTTTGGGTCTGAAAAAACTTGAGAGGGTGGTTGTTTTCACTGTTTTTTATCACCAAATGAAATCATTAAGCACATTATAAGACAAAAGTTAGAGAATTTATTTTCTATTATTTGTATACATACTTTTAATATTTAGAAGTATTACAAATAATTAGAATAGTTTTCTTTCAATGACTTTTTTGTCTAGACAGAAAACTAAGCTTACTTTAATAAGTGGACACAATTACCAAAGAATAGCATATTCATATTCTTGGAAAAATTAGGGTCTAAATATACTGACACTTATTTTAAACATATTTGAAAGTTGTCTAAGGAACATTCTCAAGGAGTTATTACAAATAAAGTCTACACTGTAATCACAAAAAATCTAACTCCTACGTAAGATCCTTTATTTAGTGACATTCTTTACATGGTTACTTCTTAATAAGACTAGAGAGAATAGCAAGACCCAAATTTACAAGTGCATTTGTCTATGAACCAATTTCTCCTTAATGTAGAACTTGTCTTTACTTTTGAATACCTGAAAGAAGCTAGTAGCTATCCTAAGCACTTTCTACCTATTATCTCATTAATCCTCCCTACTACCCCTGCAAAGTAACTACCACTTCCGTTTTGAAGAGTAAGGAACCTAGGCTCAGCAACAGAAGCTTGACTAATTAAGGTCACACAAGGGTGGAGACTGAATTTGAACTCATGCCTACATGACAAAAGCTCATGCTCTTGACTACTGAAACCACAGTCCCCAGTCAAACTGAACCAGAGCAACTGTCAAGTCTTACAAGACATAACACTGATAAGCAGACTTCTTTGAAGCCTTACAGAATGGCTTGGATGGGAAGATAATTTCATTTTTTTTATTTTTAAACAAGCTTTTATTTACTTATTTTCAGAGGGAGAGAAGCATTGATGTGAGAGAGGTATATCCATCAGGTGCCTCTTGCATGCCCAGAGGGAACCGGTCCACAACCCAGGCAAGTGTCCTGACTGGGAATGGAACCAGTGTCCTTTCGGTTCACAGGCTGGCACTGATTCCACTAAGCCATACCAGCTAGGCAAGATAATTTCATTTTTAAAGACAAGTACATGTAAATGTTACAATACATGAACACATACATGTGTTAATTTGAAGTTATAATAATCATCACTGACAATCCTGTAGTAATTTTAGTGTTTGTGTGTATGTGTATGCATATATGTATATCTATTTCTACTCCAAGGTATTTGTTTCATTTTAAAAAATTTAAAGACTACTTTCCATTCCATACTTCATATACTTCTAAACAAAAGTATTTTTAAGAGGAAAGAGTTAGGTTTTAGTTTGCAGTTATCACCAATTAAATTGTAGCTACAGAAAAAGTAACCTATATGGGGGTGGGGAGAGCATCCTCACCACCTTAAACGTGTACTATGACACTAAGCATTTCTATGATTAAACACAACTGAATTCTCTCTAGATCGTGGGACCAGATTAACAGGGAAATATTTAGTTAACAATCTTCAATGCAATTAAAAGTATTTTTACTGCCAAATTTAAGCACTAAAACTATTTCCTTCTTTTGTTAAACTTTTTCTTAATATTTCTGATAAAAACATGAAAATGGAACATAAAAACCTAAGTGCAAAACTGTCCAAAGTTAAACAACTAAGTTTTCTCAGCAATACATTTACTACATTATACCTCATAGTTAATTAACCTTTGTCATTTTAATAGCTGTGATGAATATTGAGTTTAAGAGCAGAGTTCTAAAGGTTGAAAGTTATTATGCAGAGACAGTTTAAGGTAAACCACAATTCCTACAGATTAGAAAATATATATATAATTTAGAAACCTCCCTTGAAATTAAAATGTCCTACTTGCTCCTTCCTGGCCTTAGCCCTCATGGGAACATTCAAGTACTTATTAATACAAATTTGACTTATAAAATTATATTGAGTATTATAATCAATCAAGACACTAACTTAATATACATTTATATGTTTTGCTAAGAGCTCAAAACAGTAACTGGGGAGGGTGGGGACAGCAAGCTGTTCCTGCCACTTTGTAACTGGCCAAACTACTTAAGTAGAACCTTAAGTAGATCAATATCCTATCTTCAATCAGAAATGAGGGAAAAACTATTTCAATTTTATATCTGATGAATGGTCACACCCCAGCAAGATATATGCTTTAAAAAAAATTTTTTTTTGAGTTGAGAAAGGGAGGAAAGAAGGGAGAGAGGGAAGGAAGGAAAGAAAGAGAAACATCATTTGTTGTTCTACTTATTTATGCACTCACTGGTTGATTCTTGCATGTGCCCTGATCAAGGACTCAACCTGCAACCTTGGCATATCAGGGCCTAAAATATGCCATTTTAAAACACAGCACCTTTTCGTGATGTCACAATGTCATCAGTGGAGAACTAGCATAAGTTCATACCTGGTAGAGTAAGACAGATGAGGCTGGCGATCAGTAAAGTTATGCACATGAAGACGATCAACAAAAATATCTGCAAGGAAAAACACTGAGAGTGCATAAATGGCTCCTATCAGCTCCATGCATTTTATAACACCCTCATACAATCAAAACAATTTTCCCAGTAAAAACAAATAGTTTGTATTGGTTATTTCTAGGTTTCCTTCTATTTTATATAAAAAAGACATTTTATTTTAGGTAAAATTACCTACAGTGCTTTGAAGTATTTGGATGAGAATTAAATGGGAGAAAAACATTAGACCCCCTAACTCCAGTTCCTGATACACAGTTGAAATGAATCAATAATCTTAATTTCTTATTTGTTCTAGAAGTCTTTTATATCCTTCCTTGCAAACAGCATGGAGCAAGAGCACAAGGAATCCCAACTCTGTGATTCAATTTCATAAACTGATCTAACATTAACATGCATTATGCTGCATAATGAAAGGTCTAAAAACATGAGTTCTTGTCATGAGACTGTAAGACATATTTATACAGAGGACCATAGGCTAACAACAACAAAAACAGCATGAATAGTTCTCAATAAAAATATGAAAAACCTTGACTTTCAGTTAAGTCTGTAGAGTACCTACCCTGAGTGGAAAATTTAAAGGCCGGCGATAAGGCTGAAAACCAACAGGCCCTCCCTGCTGGAGTATGGCTTGGTGGGCTGCGTGCAGACCTTCTCCCACCACAGGAATAGCATTGTTATTTCGAGCATGCTGGTTATTGTTAACTTGCTGGTTTGCACTGTTCTCATTTTCTTCCTGGTCTCCCAATAAATAGGAATGAAGATCCCTAAGTAAAAATTACATCAGTGAAAAATTCTCACTTAAAGATCAGCATAAACAGCAGATATGACATTTACTTTCTTAATAATTATTACTTAGGATAGAAAATGTACAAGTAGAATCTGTACATACCACTATTACCTCAATCTGGTCTAAATGTTGGTGCTCACTTTAAATTAAACCTTTCCAAATGTAATGTTAATTAACATACAGAGTATCCCATAAATTCAATTTTTTAATGTTTTCTTTAGTCAGTATCTGAGAAGAAATCAGTAACTGGGAAAAAAGTACAATGTACAAGATATTCTATGTGAAGATCTTAAGGAAAAATAACAACTTCTTTTCCTACCTACAGGTGGCTACTATGTCTGCTGTGACATGTATTTCCAACTAAAACCTCCAATCCACAGATCACTTAAGGCAAAAATGAGTTGTATGGAAGAGCTCAGGGCAAGGCTCAGGGCAAGGCACAGGGCCATTAGAAAAAGATAAATGATCAAATACAACTAAATAAATACGTTGCATTAAGATAGCTACAGAATGCCACTTATTTTCTGAAAAAAAGTTTAATTCACAAAGTAAGTATATAACAAATACAGCTTGAAAAAAATTAATGCAACATGCTGACTAAATAAATGACTGAAAAACTAAATCTGAGAAGAGCTCATATCAGGTTTAAGACTTTTAAAACAAGGGTAGGTTGGTTTGTTTTTAATGAATTAATTTTTTTCTACCCTGTATAATAAAAGAACCTGGGCCAGCAGCAAACCCCTATAAGAGGATAAATACATGCATACATTCTCCACAGAAGGATGTACAATGATTTATTTTTTAATTAAAAAATTTTAGAAATAAGTATTATACAAACCTGCAGACATTACTAAATTGTCTCTTATTAAAACTAATTTCTCCTAAGGGAGGCAAGGAACATACGTTTCCAGAAAGGTGATTACACTGACACACACACCTGTGAGTAGCCTGCCTGTACTTACAGCAAGTATCCAGCAGTAACAGTCCATGCTCGCACAAGCCCCTTCAGCCACTGCCGCGTGTGTCCCTGTTCCAGTAATGCTGGCAAGACAACCTGAAGCAGAAGCAGCTCAAGGGACAGTTCACTCACTGGAGCATCACTAAGACAATTATAAAGAGCCATAATTTATAATGTGTACTGTTTTACAGTATAAGTATACTGGGAATATTTAAAGAGATGACAGCAGAATTCCTTAAAGAGTCAGATGAACCCACTCCACTGTCTTTACCACCTCTCTCTCCTCCACTCTTAAGGCCAAAAAGGCTTACCACTCAAGCTGCACAAAACTGTTCCTTACAAGGGTTACCAATGACCTTCCTGTGGTTAAATCTGATGGTCAGGTCTTATCTTCACCTCACTTGCTATATTAGTATCATGTTACATGATTAGTCACTCCTTACTCAACACACCTTCCTCCCTTTCATCATCCCAACCTGGATCATTATTAGGTAGATTATAGAGGAAGGAGGAGAGTGTAAGTGATGGATTATTAACAAGAGGAAGGACTAAAATAAGGTCGTAAATCGTAAATTGAGTTGGACTAGATAAGATTTTAAGTCTAATCAGAAGTAAAATTGAGAAAGAAATCCAATTTGCCTGGCATATTTTTTACTTTAGGTGACTGAAAAGGCAATGCAAATCACTGAAAAGGGGAATGTAGGAGGAGTGAGAAACTAGGTTTCTAGATGACTTAAAGGTGTCAGGATAGCCGAGTGGTCTAAGGCACTAGACTCAAGCTTTGCTTCCAGGTGACTTAAGTTTTTAAATCAAAAAAAAGTTTCCATCTATAAGACTTATATCCTAGTTTTAATCCATAACTAAATGTGCAGCTATGGCTACATTCCTTATGATATGCTTTTCACAAAGATCATGCTACTAACGCACTCTCATTAGATATGGCAAACATTTCGATGCTAAACAAAGGCAAACTTCATTTGCAGAAAAATAAGTCTGTCTTCCTTTGGAAAATGTAACTGTTAAACTAATGTTTATGTGATCTCGAACATGGCAAAATTAACTATCAGATAATTTTCAGTATCTGTAAAAAATGTATGTTTTAAAGGTAGGTACTCTGGATATCAAATCCTTAACAGAGCTAAATTAGTAAAGCTTCCAAATTTCAAAAATTTACCTGTAGAGCATGACATTGTATGGTAGGAAATGAGGCAGCAGGCTCTTAATTATACGTATAGGAAGCCAAAGCATCAGGAGGACAATGGAGCCGAAGACAATCTGCAGTAAGAAAAAGGGCATACTTCATTGTAAATCGTTTCTGTAAGAATTTCTGAACATACTCAAACAATATGCAATCCAAGTCTATACCCACCCAGGGCCTACAGTGTTCTCACTCAACACACTCACTATACTTGATCACTGTGTAAAGAATGCATTCCTGAATGAGATGGCTACCCCTCTGTCTGTCTATCTGTCTGTCTGTCTCTACTAATCACTGCATGGGTATGTGAGGGGAGAGCTAGAAACTCACCATGAAGGATCAGAATTGTCTGCAACTTAATAAATCATCTGTAATCATTAGAATATGTAATCCATATTAATGGCTAAAAAGTTTCCAAGAGAGTAATACTGCTCTTAGAATTTTATTTTGGAAAAACTTAGATTTGACTAGCTAATTTCTTCTTCTAGATGGGAAAGAAACTTAGACCCTCTGTTAAGAGTTTTGGTTTTTTTTAATCCTCACCCAAGGACGTTTTTTAGTTGCTTTTAGAGAGAGAGAAACATCAACTGGTTGCCTCCTGTATGTACCAGGGATCCAACCCACAACCTTTCAGTTATGAGACAATGCTTCAACTAAGCCACACACACTGACCAGTACAAGAGTTTAATTTAGAAGCTATTAACAAGTCTCCATTGCTTTAATGCAAATTAATTTTAATTCAGAAACTCATAATTTGGTAATTAAGTATACTACTAAAGTAACAGAAAGTCTTTTTGTTTTAGTAAACATTTTATTAAATTTATCAAAGAAACCAGTAAAACTGCTATTTTATCTTCGTTTTCTTAGATAAGTTCCTTTAACATTTCATATAGTAAGGGCTTGGTGATGATGAACTCTTTTTAACTTGACCTTAAGTAAAATGACAGCAAACTCACAATTATTAACAACCACATCTATAACAAAAACAAACTAAGCAAACAACTAAAACAGGAACAGAATCACAGAAGCGGAGATCACATGGAAGGTTAACAACAGGGGAGTGGGAGGAAGAGAGAGGGGGAAAAGGTACAGAGAATAAGTAGCATAGATGGTAGGTAGAAAATAGACAGGGGAAGCTATGGTAGCTTGGCGAAGCGGTCTAAGGTGCTGGATTAAGGCTCCAGTCTCGGAGGGGACGTGGGTTCGTATCCCACCACTGCCAGAAAATAGACAGGGGGAGAGTAAGAATAGTATGGGAAATGTGGAAGGTAAAGAACTTATAAGTATGACATATGGACATGAACTAAAGGGGGGGAATGTGGGTGGAAGGAGGTGTGCAGGGTGGAGGGGAGTGAGGGGGGAAAATGGGACAACTACAATAGCAAAATCAATAAAATATATACATATAAATCAAAAACTGCTATTTAAGAACTGCTATGTTTGAGCCTATGTTTCATAGGTTACTTCAATCTACTGTACCAGTCCCCTGATCCCCCACTAAAAAAGTCTAAAGGGTAGCACACTTTATTTCAAAAACAATAAAAAGGCATACTTACCACTGACAAAATAAATCTTCGGAGATGCCTATAAATGGGCAAATGTATCATTTCCTGTACTGGATTAAAATCTGGGTCATTCAAATTCCTTAGAAACCATAAGACGCCAGGTCGAAGTACCTGCAAACATATTTTAAACACTATAAATACTCAGCAATGTCTTCAAGGTTCTGTATATGAGCTAAAGCATTAACAGAAAAATAAGATCTTAAAATTACTTTGGCATCTTAAAAAAATAGGACCCAGAAAATTCATATGGCTTTCCTGGGAAAAAATAAGTTCCTAAATCAGAATCTTTAATAAAAATTATTTTGTGTTTGACATCCTATAATGCTTTTAATTATTTAATGAAAAATACATGTTTTAAAGGGCAGTTTGTCAAATTTAGATCTCCTAGATTAAAAAAAAACCTATTTATTTATTTAGATTTTATTTATTTACCTTTAGAGGTGGAGGGGAAGGAGAGAGGGAGAGAAATATCAATGTATAGTTGCTTCTGGTGCATCCCCTGCTGGGGACTGGCCTGCAACCCAGGCATGTGCCCTGACGGAATCAAACCGCAATCCTTTGGTTTACAGGCCTGTGCTCAATCCACTGAGCTACACCAGCCAGGGCGAAAAATAAATATATTTTTTTAAACTGTCACTATATTGTATCATTAGGTTGCAATTTTAAAATGTCCTAAATAGAAGATTTGATTTGTCTTACACTTTCTGGGAAGAGTCATTTTAATTAAGAAGCCTACCACTTCTCACTATACATCTAGATTTTACTACCTCCATCTTTTCCCTTCTCTCAGTGGAAATCATCCACTCAACAGTCTGTGGGTAATGGGGCAATGAATGGATAAGTCTGGGTATTAGTCCTGGGTGGTCGAAACTCACTGAGTTATGCTATATAAAGCCTCTCATATGCCCAAACTCTATTTCTCCAGCTTCTAAACAATGGGGTTATAATGTATGACCTCTAAGGTTTCACCTAACTTCCAAATATTAGGATTCTGTGTCAACAAAAAGACACATAGATAAATTGAAAAAAATTCGGTTTATACATTTTATCACTTAACAACGTAATTTAGAGAGCATGTATAATTACAATTTTTTAAAATTATTAATTTAGTCTCAATCACTTGTTTCAAAGAAAGAATACAAGCTTAATATGAAAACAGAATTTACTAAACTTATAAACTTACACTATATAATTCAGGAGAACATGCTGGCCCCCAGATCCCCCCCTCAACTCTTCAAAACTTTCAACTAGCAAAATACACCAAGAATAGCATTAAGCCTCTATGCTATTAAATTCCATTCAAACTGGATTAGTCAGCCTGCTCCTTCAGGCCCTTCCTTGTACATCTCCATTGCCACTCTCAAAGCTCTCACTAAAGGGTAAGCTGACTGGTTCTACAGTTGTATTCAACCCCAGGATATAAAATCAAGGAGAATGGGGATCGTCTCTTTGCTTTCACTATTACCCCAGCAGACAGCACAGTGACTAACACAGAGCAAGTATGCGGTAATATTGAGGAAAGGAATGCATAGCAACCAGTACACTAGTCAGTTTCATACTTCTTATTGCACCAAAATGACTGAGTATGCAATGTATACTAATCAAATACTGACCTCACTGTCACTGTCTTCAAACCAGTAAAGACTGTATTCCAAAAACACATTAGTAAGGTACCCATCTAGCAAGTGAACTGGAAAAATAAAGGACTTTCACTCCAATTCTACACTTAAAGTGCCCGCTTCAAGACCATTTTACATATCTGATCCTATATAAAACCATAACCTTTGGGTATTTCCAGCACTATATTTCCTTGGAGGAAGTCCAAGACAGGCTCAGACCTTATAAAATTCCAGGAATTTGTACTAGAGGATGGCTAAAAGTAAAATGTGTGTTTTTGTTTAACTTTTTCTCCTCAGTCTACTCATCTGTCAAATTTGTAACTAATTATAGGCAGAAATACTAAAATATGTCAATTTTTTCAGACAAATGACTGAAAACAATTCAAAGCAATTAAGCCAAACTCATCTATCGGTTATTACATCTGAGAATAAAACAGAGAAAATTATTTAGTTAGAAAATCATAGCCTCTGAGGCACGACTTGTGGTTAAGCAAAGTCCTTTTCGTGAATGTATGGCACCGGCACTTTCCTGCAGAACTCACCTCTCTCAGTAGGAGAATGAAGGAGGCAAAGTAGAACACGTACACCATCCCCACTAGCCAGTGCAGAAACATGGTAGTGCCTGGTGCTGACTGAAAGCTCAGTTCTCGATCTTTCAGAGTAGCATCAAACATTTCCTAAATCAAAACAGGACAGGTAAGCAAGAGTTGTAGCACCTACATTTGCCAAATTAACACCTCCATTTTCTAGGAAGTGAATAAAAATTACTATGCATATAGTTTTTGTGTTCTGGGGCCACAGTTCTCTTAAGACCACTTCAAGGTATCACAAAAGATAAATGATATAAGGTTAAATACTACTTCAAAATGTATATGACACTTCAAAATTTTTAAATATAAATATCAAGACTGAAAAACCAATTGCTAAGTAAAAACCATACTAATACTACCACTGTAAAAAAATAATTTTTGGTTAACATAGTATCTTCTTTGCTTAGTTACAGGTCTGCATTCATGACAAGTTTTAATAGTAAACTATGGAAGAAAATGTTATCCCAGAACCAAAGGTAGCTTTTCTACATATAAAATATTTTTGAAAAGTCAGTAATTGATTATCACTGATGGCCACTAAAGATTATATAATAAAAAATGAGCATCTTAGTTAAAACAAATGGCTAGGGTTGAATTTACCAATACAAAGACTGTCTTTTTATCAGATTGCTCTTTTTATGTATGTCTTGGCATTAGTGTAACATTCAGAACAGTGAAATAAGAAAATTCTCCATCAATTATTAGTAAGGTTCCAGCGTAAGGTTTTGATACGCTGACATCAAAAATCTGCACAAAGTCTCAAAAAAATCAGGTACTCAAGGAAAATTAGCTTGAAGACTCCACCATGATACATTCTCAGAAAAAAAATAACCCAATTATTATTAAATAGTGGCTTTCCTTTAAAAGAAACCCATTCTATAGATGTCTTTTCTGAAGCCTTTAAATGATTTGATTATAAGATAATAAATAATAAACTCACCAGGGAACAGATATCCAGCCACCAGCCACAAATGAGAGGGAACACTCCAATTTCTACCACCACTAGCAAAGAGACCTTAAGCAGAAACAAAAGTCATCAATATCGCCCAAATGGGGATAAATCATTTCCAGCTTTAACTTATAACAACAATTACCTTAACAACAATATAGCAGACTCCCAGCAAGCGACGAGACCTATGAAATTTAACAAGAGTTGCCAAGCCCTACAGGATCTAGTCAAGGAAAAACGAAGCATTTCAAGTTACACCAAAACATAATAATTTAGGTAATGGTTAATATTACTTAGCAGACAGAATTTATTTCATATTTTGTCTTCCCTTATCCTCACTACAAATACCTTTTACTAAGAGGATTAAGGGAAAACAAATAGTTTTGTCAGTAACAAGACTAACTCTTTGGTATGAATAATATCACTAAACACCCAAGTTGGTTCATTAAAGGATACGTGACAAATTATCAGTGTTATTGCTAATAGTATATACCCAACTATGGTTGTGATTAGGCCTTCGAAATGAGATGCTTGAACCTGGAAATAAGAAAAATAAATCATTTTCAACTGCACCATATGGCCTCCACCCCAGTTTAAGAATACATTGAACAATTCTAGTAGACTAGAAGTGAACCACCTAGGCAATTTACAACTAGAAAACAACCAGGAAATCCCCTTTGGAAACCAGATTCTCCCACTGATTGTTATGCAGTATAAAAAGATAAGGAAAAAATTAAAGAATAATACTTTATTCAAGCAGACAAAATAGAGTGAATTAAATTTTACAAAAATGAAGAAGAAGCTGTAATGCTCTAAAGTGAACTTGCTAAGAGCTGAGCACTAAAAGCAACAGCACATTGCCCAAGCCGTCCCCCTGTCCAGTGCATCACAGCCATCTCACTTCCTACCACCGGAAGGCACTATTTAAATTTCCCTTGCTCTTCTAATCTGTCCCATTCTCGATTTACAGAACCAAGAATTTGGAAAGTGACAAGTATTGCACATATTTTTGGTTCCTGAATTTCAGATAGCAAGTGGCAATAGTTTGGAAAGTCAAAATTTATCAAAGAATTCATCCTAACTTTTCAAGTCTTTGCATTCAACTAGTGAGAATTTGGAGAGCTGTTATCAAATATTGAAAACACCTTTGCCCTTTCGGAACACTTCAAAATGTGCTCTCTCTCAGGATTCCTGTACACAAACTGAACAGCGTAGCTAACTAGGTCAGCTCTTCCTTAAAAAGCTAAGTCCTTCTGTACCCCTACCAAAACAGTTGTCCATCAATATCTGGATAGTTGTCCATCATCCAGATATTTATCCACCTCTGACAATGATAAACTGTCAAAAATAAAGCAAATTCTTTAGAAAACTCTACAGCCCATCATTCCAATATTGACTAACCTTTAAAAAAAATCAACTGACGTACTATTATTTATCTAAATTCACTAGGGTGAAAAGGGAGGGAAGGGTACAGAGGTTCATTGGAATGGGTCATAAATCAGCCGGCAAGAAAATTTCCCCATGAATGCCTCTGGTCCACCCAACAAGAAAGAAGACAGTGCAGCATGGGATCTGAGAGCACATCTTCCTTAGCTGGCAACATAACCTCCTGTGTCTTGATTCATTATCAATTTTTAAAGAAAAGAATAAGACAGTGCTGGGTAACTATTCCTTTGTATAAGGCAGATTAAGAAATAAATGAACTCTTCACAATATTATTAATTGCTCAGTAAATATCAAATTTGGGGGGTTATCAATGAAAGTAAGTTTACAAAAGTATTATACTCACGTGTTCTTCAAATCCCAAACCAACAAGGGAGAAATGACCAATGTGGTAAGGGCAAAATGCTACAAGGGAGGAAAAACAATGAAAACTTCAAAATCAAAACAATGAACACTCATATTACCAATCTCCCACTAAAAGGAACCAAGGCTTTTTTAAAAAATGGACCATTCCAGAACTGGAGCTAAAAACAAGTATTTCCTGGGACAGTCTTTATAACCAAAGAACAACAAAGTTATCAAGGTCTAATAGCCTTACAGCAAAGGATCCAGGAACCACTTTGCCTAAAAAGAAGGTTTCACAGGCAAATAAAAAGACATGACCATCAAAAACAGTGACCCAAACCAATGAAAACACACTTAATACATAGAAATCCATTAAGTTCATTACACTCAACAAGTGGGAGGCCAAACAAAAACAAAAAGGAAAAAAACAACATCACAGAAAACACTTTTATCACCTATGGAAGTAGTTAGCTCATCAATTCCTTACCCTGAAAACTGACATTTAAAGGGAAAGAACTGCTCACCTGTCCTGCTGCTTCTGAACAGTTCAGGTTACTAAACAGCTCTAGCTAATAATAAGTTCTTCTTTATAGAAAAGCCAGTCCATAAATGTGAAAAATGACAATTTAAAAAGAACCATTTTGAACTGCCTAATAAATTATTTCAGGCAAGTATCATCAAGGGATAATAAAATCAATAGGTCAAATGTTGATGAAACACTAGATGTTTTCATGATACGAAAATTCCCTGCCCTGGCCAGTGTGGCTCAGTTGGTTGGAATTTTGTCCCATGGACCAAAAGGTCAAAGGTTCAATTCCCAGTCAGGGAACCTACTCAGGTTGCCCAGTCAGGGCATGTACAAGAAGACAACCAACTGATGTTTCCTTCTCTCTCTCTCTAAGCAATGAAAATGAAATGTCCTTGAGTGAGGATTTTAAAAAATGTTTAATAAATAAATAACATGAGGCCAGCATTAAAAAAAATACTACCCCCACACATTACTTTCTGATGGTAAATTGAAAAACGAAGCCTACTAACAGAGGCTTCATGATGCTATCATGGGAACCGATGAGAAAGGTGGAGAACCAGACACCACAGGTCGCCTAATACGTTGTTACTACTAGGCAAAGCACCACCAGCTGAAAGATTTGTCCCAAACATGTTGAACCTGAATCTATTCAGGCCCTTGGACACAACAGAAGCAAGGTAACAAACATCATCAGGAAGCATCTGGACAAATACAGAACGTGAGGCACTTAGAGGGCAGCTGACCTAAGTCCCTTGAACAAATCAATGGCAAAAATGGGGGAGGGGTAGAAGAATATTCTAGACCAAAAGGATTAAGAGCCAAAAGTAATGTCTAGACCTTATCTGGATCTTCAGTCAAACAAACCAACTATAAAATGACATTTAAAGGACAATCTAGGGAATTTCAATATGTTAAATTGCTAGGAATATTAAATTTTGGTGGTTTTTCTAAAGTGCGGTGATGATATTATGGTTAAATAAGAAAATATCCTTAAAATTTTCATAGCAAGAATTTTTATAGTCTCTTTTCCCTGTCTTTCTTGCTGTATTAATAAAAATTTTAATTTGTTCTTAATAATAAAATTTAATTATCTTTTAATTACACCAAAAAATGAACAGTGTAGATTAGAGAAGTAGAGAAGGGAACTCGACCAATAAAAAAAAAAAAAAAACATTAGAGTGAATCTGTAGAATCTGTCTGCCGAACAGTTTTGGTCAAGTAATCTAAGGGTAGAAATTTATTTATGGGTCTAAGATCTATTTTGAATTTATTTACAAATTAGACATGTATATTATTTTACTGATATATTGTATATATTATAAAGCACAAGAAACTTTTAAAAAGAAAAAACGTATACAGAATTTTTCCCATTTTGTTCTCATACCCAACTCTAAGGATGACTTAAGAAGGTCCCTGAGAAAGGCAAACTTTCAAGTTTCATCTCTATTTGTGTATATAAATGTTAACCTATCAATTGTAACAATTAATTTCTATCCTATTCCACACAATTACAGATAAAGGTCAGTTTCTCAGAATCATTCCCTTCTATTAGGACACAGCAGTGCTATAAGGTGATACTTCTGCAAATACATGACCACAAGAGTTAAAATGCCGGAGGACAACTGCAGTAGAGCAACCAAAGTAGGAAAAAAACATATGTGTTTAATCCCAATGACCTAAAAGGAGAAATACAGTATATTCCTAAAAAAAAAAAAAACTGTTTCATTTCAAGAGATCCCTAAGTATAATGTATTTTAGTGTACTAAGACAGAATTTTTCTTTATAAAAGCTTATATAGGCTTAGGAGATTGGATTAGAAAAATATTTATTTAATAATATTTCCTTTATGTAAATAGTTATTTCTATAAATCAGGTTTTCAAGGTGACTTGTTCCTCCAAACATTAATTTAGCATTAATCTTTTCTTACAAGAGCAAAGACAATTCTACTGGTCATTTTTTTCTCAAGTAAAATTTGGTCAAAATCAAAACAGTTTCAATTATTTACACTCTACATATCAATTATTTTACATATGAAAAATAAACACAGAATAATCTACAGATACATTTTTACCCCATATACAAGGGGAATAACAAAGAATGAGCTTCCTATTAATTTGCATCATCTTTTTTGCACCATATTTTGTTTCAACTAGTTACCTATAATTATATTTTACTCTTTACCAATAATATTCAGAAATCATTTTTGTTTCATCCTCAATTTACTATTGAGTGTCTTTGTGACCACATGGCTTCCGTCCTGTTGAAAACAACTGCTTTCTGGGTCACAACATGGTCCCCAACACTAAACAAATAACTTGGAATTCAGTGGAAGAGCCTTTGGGAAATCTACTCCTCCCTCCTCAGTCCATCTGAGGAGTAACTCACCTGCATTAAAGGAAGGAGTTTCTCAAAAATCATCTGTGGAGAGATCTGTAGTCGGAGGGCCCTCCAAGGAGATACAAGTCATAGCACAGCCCAATAATAACCTGATTTTATCAGACTCCACCTTCTCTCCTTTGAGAAACACAGGGATGGAATTCTAAAGTCTTGGTTTACTTGATTTAGTTAACCTTTCCCAAAGCAGAAAACCTGTCAACTGCATTTCCTTAATCTTGTCTTCCTTTCTCTAATTACTCCAACACACATGGGGAACTCATGTGTGTTGTTACAGAATCCTCACAGCTGTAGTCATGAAAGTATCTGGAAGTGACTTTACATTTACTTGAATTAGTTCTAAAGGAAATTCACACTTGGAAAAGGGTTACTGTCTTCCCTCAAGCCTACATCCACCTCTGGTGACAGCTCCCAAGCTAGGGTCTCTGGTAAGACCTCGGTCAGGATTTTGAAACATGGCACCAAAATCTTCTACCATAGGGAAGGGACACAGATAATCAGCACAAAATTAATTCCAGAGACGGAATATTGTATATTCTCAAGTCAGTCAAACTAGCTTCTACAAAGAGACAGAAATGCCCAACAGAAGCAGAGATGGCAAGTAACCACAGGTTACTAAAGTCAGTGTTGCTTAGGAAAGAAAGTATCTGTACAGAATTCCTATACAGGATACTATCTAAAACTGTTCCATATATTCCTGTTAAAAAACTAAACAAAAACCTATACAAGAAGGCTCCTAGAAACTAAATGACCATAATACAATAAATAAAAGCATAAACACCACTTACCAAAAACAAGAATGAACAGTGTATTTAATGACACCACCCAGAAGACATGTTCCTAAGGAAAAGAACATTAATAAAACACATTCAATTCCTATTTGATATATGTTTAGTCTCCTCTACTTCTTCAATTAGAAGACTGAAATTTTCACTCTATAATTGAGACTTAATTCCAAAAATTATGTGCAACTTTAAATTTTTCATTAGATAAGTCATAGAAATAAATAATACAATTCAAAGTTCGTAATGTTACATGTAGGAAAAAAAATCAAAGAAATTAATCCATAAACATTTTCTCTTCAGAAATTAATAACCCACCACAAACTATATTGAGTTGCATAAATAAATGCCAGACTGCATTAAGTCAAACGACACTGAAAAATTCCACGGAAGATTTGAAAACCACAATAAATTCCCAACAACATATTAATGTAAAAATGCACAGTGCTTCTTTCAGTGTCTATTTTGTTCTCATGACTTCTGCAAGGTCTTCTCTGGTCCCTTTTCTCCCTATGGTATCCTGGCTTTCTTTGCTCCTGCTTTAGAATACTCATTCTCACTGGGCCACTGATCCACTTCCACAGTCATGTATTTTCACCTCCAAGATGACTGCCACCATCTATTCCTCCAGCTATGTCACATATACTTTAGTCACATTCTGTGCTGACACCATAAAATCCAAGCCTATCTGTCTAGGCCTACCACCTACTGCCCCAACAAGTTAATGATTCTTCCATAAGGGCCAACACTCTTAAGATTTTCTTTTTAGGAAAATTATTCTAATCAAGTCCCCAATCTGGTACAAATCCTTCTTCTGGTAAGAAGAGTGAGTTTTCTAAGAGATGACTGTTATATTCTTACCATGCCAGCTCAAGTCCCTTGATTATTTTCAGTTTCTCTGCCTTAAGAGCTCCCAAACTGTTCATATCCCCTAACATCCTTTGTGCCTCAATCTCTAAGTTATCTTATCTAAATTATTCCTGCTGACAAACTCCACTAAGAAACACCTAACCAAGCCCTCTTCTGTAGCACTGTGTCCTATGTGCACTTTCTGTCACTGAGTCTTTAACACATAGTGCCTCTGAATTGCCTTGTTCACATGGTCATTTCTCTCTACTAAACTATAAAGCATCTTTGAGTATAAGGTCCTAATTTCATTAATCTCTGAATCTCCCAGTATCTACCACAATAGCTGGCACACAGTAGATACTAAAAATATTTTTCCATAAATGAAGACATCCTATAAATGGTTTTTTTCCATAAATTAGAATGGGCTTGAGTCAACACCACTGCCTCAATGACTTCTGTCACTCACCTATGAGGGACTGACAAGGTAAGAGATATAAATGAGTATGTAGCCAAATAACATACCTTCTATACTGACTGTTCAAACTTTGAATAGGAGCTCATTAACATCACATTCTCACTCATCTATGAATTACCATCAGGTACATTCCTCAGTATAACTACTAACTTCAACTTCCTATTGAGGAAGAAGCCAACTCGGTGGACAGCAGAGCAAACAGACTTATTTGGGTCTTTGATGACACTGTTGGGCTTCTGGATCAAGCCCATCCTTCTTCTGGACTCACGTTATGGTTTTGGTCACTGGGGGTTCTCCTACCTGCAGCCAAAGTCATCTTGGTGCCCAAAACCACTCAAAATCCCAAAACCAAGTGATTTTGTATTACAGAATCTTTAAAAAGTTTTATTTCCCCTTTAAAGAATAGGTTTATTAAAGAACTGTTCTGCACCTTGAGCTGTACTCTTTATTAACAACATAAAGATGGGTAGGATTCAGCAAAAGGTGAAAACCTATGATAAGCCTGGGGCTCTCCTTGTGAATATTGCAAAACTGCTCCATTTTCACCAGCGCGAGCATTTAAACATCATAAGACAGAACTTTAAAAGACCAAGTTCTTAACTTCTATTCATTTTGTATTTCCTTTTCTTTTCTAAAAGTCAAATATTTAATAATTTCCTTTAAATAGTATTACTTTTATGCTTTGCCAATATTTTCAGTGCACATAACAAACTTACTTCAACATACCCAGTAGTCAAAAATCAAGGGCATTTTGATCTTTAGTATAAAAAAGCCAATGCATATTGTAATTTGAAACATTTGATCATTAACACAAATGATTAAGTCACAATTCTATTATTAAAAAATATTAGCTTTACTTACTAGAAAAACTAGTGATCCATCAAGTCCTAGCATCTAAAATAGACAATAATATGCATTAATTCAAGATAAAACAGGATTTTTTTTCTATTTATCAAAACAGCTCATTTTCCTTTTAATATCTTTAATGTAATCCTTACCCACTGCTTTCTAGCCTATAATTTTCAGAGAGTAAAAAATTCCTGTACATGGGAGTTTTATACAGGGTCCAGCAGAAGTAAGGCCTACCTGAGTGTGGTTGGTATGGTAATAACATGGGTGTAATTTATAGTTTTAATTTGAACATTTCACCTAAAATGTCATACGGTGCGCTTGAGTGTGATATTGTCCTGTTACAGAATTACATGCTTATGATTTTGTAATAAGAAGGGAACTTCGCTTGTGCCAGACTCTGTATTTTGGGTCTCCTTTTAATTCAAATCATGGTTTTCAAGTCAAAAAATTCTACCTGGGGTTTCACTCTTACATTAGTTATGAAACCAGTCAAGATCTCATGATACAATTCTATATTGTCAACTGAAGCACCAGAATGAGACTTAAAACTGTTACTTCATTTTTTGAAAGTCAACAATTTCAGGTTTAACTTTCCCTAAGTATAGCAAAGTTTATTTTAAACACAAGAAGATAGAAAAACAGTTATCAGTAGATCTGTATCATGTTTCTAGTATTTATGATACAAAAATATCACTTAATTTTCTCTAGAAATTAAAAGTTCTATTGTAAGTAGAACATCAAATGTAAGTACAAAATTGGCATATAAATCTAAATATGCCCAACTTTAGAATTAAAACACTGATGCTTGACAGAAAAAAGTCTTACTCACTCTTTCCCACGTAAGCTCTTCTGCAGCTCGGTCCCACTCTAAAGCATTCCAGTTCATGTCGTCTGGAAGTAAAATTGAGTTTAAAGATTACTGACAGGACTTGATCTATAAATAATAAAATGCACCCTCTAATTCAGTTTTGTAAGCTGTTGTTGAGAAGCTAAACCACATTTAAAAAATTTTCCATATGAGTATTTGCTTGTTAGGCAATAAATAAGAATACATATACATAAATACAACATATAAAATAATTAAGGTGATTCTAGTACATGGTAAGTACTAGAAAGGAAATAAATAGGATTACGTGAAAGAGAAGAATTCAACACCTCTGAATCAGGAATGACTCTAGAAGATTTGTGAAAAGAAGCCAGGAGACTAGAATTCTCTGGGCAAGGAGAAGGCAGAGATATAGTATGAAAGTCAGACAAGGATTAGATCATGTGAAAGGAATGTGAAGCCTAGATTTTATTTATTTATTTTTTTTAGTATCTTGGAAAACCACTGAATATTTTTAAAGACAGGAGAGCAATCTGACTCTGTGTGGGGCAAGAATGAAAGAAGGAAGACCAGTCAGGAGGTAATATATTAGCCTGAGACAGAAATGGTAAGAAAGGACTAGGGTAGCAGTAGGCTGCATTCTCAGTCTTTGAACTGATACTGGCCTCTCCCTGGCAAAGGCCCCATTGCACAGCGCACTTCTCTTCCTTCAGGTCACTGCTCAAATAAGAGTTACTGTGAGCTACTGGGACATCTTGTCTAAAGAAGTCTCCCCCCAGTAGCATCCTCAGAGCAACCTGCACAATGTTCATCACAATGTGTAATGATAAATTTGCTCACTTGGATATTCACTGCTAGCCCAGAAAAACTCCACAAAGGCAGGCCCCAGTGTTTGAGTGCCTGGCACACAGGAACACTCAGATATTAGCAATATCAAGTGGGCCAAGAGACAATGCAGTGCTTTACAGGAAGACTCTGGCTAGAAATAGAAAAAAGGAGGCACTGAGCTACTAACAGCCAACTGAGGGAGGGGCCTAGTCTCAGACCTCCTTTTACACTGTAGTTACACTGCTGGAAAAGGAGAGACTGGTTTCTTAAGATTGCATCTAACCTACAGCGTACACTTCAAATTCTTCTATGATACTAAAAGTACTGAATAGAATGGTAAAAGAATAAGATGAATCTGTTATCAAATTCCTTCTTAAAAAAAACTAGGAACTGTACCAACTTACAAATACTTTCTTCCTATCCATTCTATACAAGTTCTGCTGAAGTAAGATTTTCTTTCGAGATTTTATATATTTATTTTTAGAGAGATGGGAAGGGAAGGAGAAAGGAAGGAAGAGAAACATCAATGTGTGGTTGCCTCTCACACAATTCCAACTGGGGACCCAGCCTTTAACCCAGGCATGTGCCCTGACTGGGAATCAAACCAGCGACTCTTTGATTCACAGGTCCACGCTCAATCCACTGAGCTACACTAGGCAGGGCTGAAGTAATATTTTAAAACACAAAATGAACCCTGCTTCATAGGAAAAAAAGCATATCCATACACAAAAGTTTGCCAAAATAAAGTAAAAACAGGTTAAAACACAATTTTAAACCCACTAAATTTTGAAAAGTCCAATCCTTCTCCCCGTGACAGTCTGGGAATGGACTCATGGTAGAGAAAGAGGGTTAAGAACAATCCAGCAGCCATTACCCTGGGCCCCATTGTTGGCTTCTGCTGCATCTTCCCCGCCTGCCTCATCTTCCTCCTCATTCTCTTCCTCCTCCTCTTCTGCCTGATCATCCTGGGCATCCGGGTTTTCCCCCACCACCACATTCTCAGCTGGTGGGTTGGCTGGCTGGTCAGGGGCAGCATTTTCAGCACCATTTCCTCCGGCTGGAGCCTAAAATGACAAGAGCCCAGACATTTAGCTAACTTGTCTCAGTTTTGCTTTATTTCCAAATCAAGCTCTCTCTTCTAAAAAAATCAAACTATCAAACAAACACAAACTATTAAAATTCAAAAAAAAAAACCCACCTACCAAAGTCATTTTTTCTAAATGTATCTTATTTTGGATCAACTTGATAGAGAAGGACATAAACTCACTTAACAGTATATATATCCACTCAGTATAATTTAGGGAGTACCATTTCATAAAGCATCACAAATAATGAGTTAAACATCTGACTACTGTGAATATATCATTCCATACATAATACTTCTTTAGAAGATAACTCCTATCTTTAATGATCACCTCAAGGATAAAAACATATATATTTATGGATCTATTTGTTTCTTTATACACATAGAGATATAAAACTTCATTCTCAGTTAACAGTTAAACACTTGAAAAAACATAGCTCTGTAGGTAAAGCTGTCCATACAGACTTTATCAGTTCCCATATGCAACTCCCTCTGGCTCTTCCTGAGTGCAACTACCTACCAAACAAAGACATAGTTATAGTTAATTAAGACACTCAACTCCCATTAAATTAATGGAGATTTAAGAAGAACATTAAATGCTTCAAAACATGAGGTCCAATAATAAAAGTATTAACGGTAGATAAGAACAGTGTCCTTTCTTTATAACCCCGTTTTCATATGTATGATTTTCCAAGGAGAAGTTGCACTCTTACCTAATTCTGTAGAGAAAACAACATGGCAGAATTTGATGAAATCAATCTGCACACTGACAAAAGCAGGTCATTTCATGAAAAATTAAATTGTTAATTTTCATTCCAAGTATCTTACAATTTTTGTGTAACAAAATTTTATGAAGTATAGATTGTTTTCATATGTAAGTACTTAATTTTTTTACATTTTTAACCCCATCATTTCTCAGTGAGCAAAATACTAAAAATAATTTGTTCTCCTTCTCTTTCTTTCTTTTTTTAAAGACAGGGAAGGAAACATAAGTGTGTGGTTGCCTCTTACATACTCCCCAATGGGGACCTAGCCTGCAACCCAAGTATGTGCCCTGACTGGGAATCGAAGCAGTGACCCTGTGGTTCACAGACCAGTGCTCAATCCACTGAGCTATACCAGCCAGGGCTCTCCTTCTCTTCTTAATGCCTCTAAGCAAGTGCTCTAGCATCTAAGATTGTCATCTCTCATAAAGAAAAAGTAAAACTGAACATCATTGTTATAGTGTCCCAATGTTTTTACTTTTGGTAATGTTCCAGCTAGAAACAGCAAAGACAAGGCATTTTATATACAAAGAAACTGATGAACAAAGAGGGTAAGCTGCCTCCTTACTGTTACATAGCATGTCAGAAGCATGCAGAAGTTTGTGTCTTAACTTCCAGGCCAGCATTAAGCAGTTAAACTAGGCAAAGGCCATGAAAGAGTACTTTAGTACACCTCTGATGTGCTCCCAATCTTGCTAGAAATTTATGAGGCCAAATCGCAGCAGCTTTCTTCTTTTTTCACATCTCCCTTCACCTTCTCACAAACTTCACTATTCTGCCTTGCAATGAGGGACGTAGGACCATTTCACTATTCTCCTTCACAATGAGGGACATAGGAGTCAAGGATGTGGGTCTTAGAAGGTGACAATCCTCATATCTTGCCCCAATAAAATGAACTCAAGGGTGAGGGGAGTTACCTCATTTTGGTGGTGTCCAGCAGCATTGAAGGGTGGAGCGGCATGTTCCAACCAAATCGGTGCTCCCCCGTGGACAATCTGCTCTCGCAACCACACCAGGCTGATGAATGCACACAATGTGCACGTCACCACAAAACAACCCTGCAAACAATCTGCCAATAAATTGTCCCTAGTAAAAAATAAAAAAATTATATGAAATTACTGCAAAGAACACCTAAGAAAACCAAACAAACTAAAGCTAGTTTCATTAGCTAAAACATTTCATTTTACACTAAAATCTCAGAAAAATATCCAGAAAACTCATGATTTTCTGGGTGAAAATCAGTTTCTCAAAAAAATTTTATTTTTGAGGATGATGAAAATCTATCTTATAAGCTGGCCAAATATACTTATTTATATATATATTTTTAATATATGTGTATATACTATAGCAGGCAAAGAATAATATCAGAACCAAACAGACATGAGCTATCCACTGACTGAACATGGCTTAGAAGCAGGAAAGTGGCAAGCAAAAACCCAAAAGCACCCAAAACTAGACAAAGTCCAAGAATGTAATTTACTAAAGATTAATGTCTGTTCAACCCTAAAAATTTCTTCGTCCTTATTTTATACACAAAATTTAACAAATGTGGTTAGCTGACACCTGAGCCTACACAAATGAAGAAAATCAGCAAATCAGAAAGGTGGAAAAGCACCCCCAGAAAGGCCTAATGACAACACAAAGAAAGGAGGCTAAAAACTATTCAGTATGCACATGTAAGACAAAGAAGTCTGTAACACACTTAGAAATCTGTCACTTAGAAAGCAGATTGGATTTTGATCTAACTGCCAAGTACAGCAAAAGTATATTGGGTCTAGTAGAAGTAATACATGCTTGAGTGTGGTTGGTAGGGTAATCAATCATACTGGTGTAATAATTTATAGTTTTAATTTCAACACTTCACCTTAAGTGTCATATGGTGTGCCCGAGTGTGATACTGTTATATTATAGAATTACATGCCTATGATTTTCTAATAAAAAATTTATAATAAAAACAGGGGCATTATTTGTGCTGGACCCTGTATTATAGTAGTTCAACAAATTCAGATACACAAAGTTTGGTTCCCTTGTAATCATACGTGAAAATATATGGAGTATTATGATACTCTTTCTTTTTTCTTTTCCTCTCTGAAGGGGCTTATTCTTCCCTAGTCTATGCCTGATTTCAGAATAATTCAAGAATAACTCAAGAATCTTGGTAGACTTTGGAAATCCATTGTCATAAAGGAATGACTTTCTGCCTCTACAGAAAACCTAAGGAAGGGTCAATTTGGGAGACCTTGGAGTAGCAGCTCCAAATTTAACTGATGCAGTCATTATTATCTGGAATCTTCAGAACAATCAAAAGAGTAATCTTAGTATTCTCCTTCTAAAGAACCCCCCAAACCATTAAAACTTTCACAGGCTGGACTAAATTACCCCTTTCTGTACTCCTTCCCTATCCACAGCAATAAGAATAACAACTGCCGTTGATTTTAAATGACACACTTTGTTGAGTCCTTTTCCCTCACAACTTGAGTCTGGGCTGGTTTTGTGAACTGCCTAGACAAAAGGTGATGTTCGAGAGCCTGGAAGAGAACTTGCTAACTTCCACTCTCACCCTTTTGGAGTGCTGCCCTGAGACATGACATAAAAAAGCGGCACTAGCCTTCTGGAATAAGAGACTACATGAAAGAGAACCAAGGCACCCCAGCTAGGGCCATATTAGATGTCCAACCCTAGTGAAACACATGAGTACCTAAGGCAAACCCAAAAGATGAACTGATCAGCTGAGCCCAGCCCAATATGCTGACCACCAGAATCATGAGCAAATAAAATGGCTATTGTTTTAAGCCACTAAGTTTTAGAGATGGTATACCTTAAACCATCCCTAAGTTCCATCCCTAACCACTAAGTTTAGGGATGGAAACTTAACCATTATGCTGTGCTCTGAGATGACCTGAAGAACTGGGCTACAGAATATGTAGCAGCTGCTATGTTATTAAGAAATTTTTTTAATAATTTAAAAATTTTTAAGAAATTTAAAGTAAAATTTCAAAAGTAAAATTAATACTATAGAGAAAATAAAACAGTTACTCAGGAAAAAAGTAATTCAGTTACAAATGTTTTCAGGAAAAAACTGGTTCAATTCTTCAAATTATAAAAGGCAACATGGATTATAAAATCAAACTATGTTTACAATTTCTTTTGACTATTCTCACCATGCCTCCAGCATTCCTCCCATGGGAATGAGTAGTATCATAAAAGCAATGCAGGGGGCCCACTAATCAACCAGGTCAGAGAAAAAAGGGGCATCTGCCAACATAAGGCAAGCAATAGTGAGCTTCTAATTTTACTATACATTAACCTAGTGCTCAAAATTTGCATAGTGTTTACATATACACACGTACCTCTGTTTATTAAGCAACACAGAGGGAAACTCAAGTCACCGTTTCTAGACAACTGAGATACTGACTTGGTATTACACTATATTCTCAAAACTACAATGATATTTGGATATTTAGCCGTGAACAAAATGGATCAAGACTGCCCTATCTGAAATGGTTTATAGATGTTAAAATACAACTTCCATCACTTTCAGCAGTCACCATTGCTTTTTTCTAACCACCCTTTGCTACTTCTGATATGCATCTTTGTTTTTTTATACACAACTCCTAGATGAAAGCCAGAGATGAACTATGTCATATACACAGCGATTCAATGATAACAGCTGAACCACTAAAGACTGATTTTTCTGCCTTCTAAAGACTGTGTACAGCTGAGATAAAAAAATATAATGTCTAGAAATAGGAATGTTGTCCAATTTGTTTCTATTGCGTCACTTCATAGAAGGTCTATATTTTTATGCAAAGGGTTGTCTTCTAACAATTTCTAACCTTTAAAGTGTGTCAAATTACTGATTCTCCTTTTTGTCATAGCCAATTAGTGCCCTCATTTCAAGGCCCCTGTCCACTTCTAAATATTACTTAATCAAAGCTGTTCTTCAATAATGAAAACAAAAAACAATTCTAATGTAAATAAGGTTGAAGTGAAAAACCTTTTATGTTGTCTGCTCCCTACACTGTCATAGAAACGAATGTAACAAGACTCACCCATTCTATCCAAAAAGAGATATAAGCAGCTGGTAGATGTCTTGCAGATACAGATAATGTTTCTAAGTATTTTCCACAATGATTAAAATAACGCAGACACAAAAGACTAAAAAGACGTCCTCCTCAATTTCTGTCCTGCGAGAAATGTAACAGACTCTCCTGTCTCTTCAGCTGCCACGTGGCTGGCTTACTTTGATGGTGCTATACTCTGAATGCTTCTGATCCACAGAAGTCCCACCACTGCTCTTTGCCTTTACTGACATAAGGATCAGAACACTAAGTAAGGACAGCTGGGCACAAAAGATTTAGCAAATCTGGTATAATCTTTTGTAGGCTCAATAATCTAATGATCTTGATACAGTCAATCATTTACAGCATTTCTAATTCTGACATCCATAATAAATAAAGCACACCTGATTGGTGTGGCTAAGTGGAATAAGTGCCAGCCTAAGAACCAAAGGGTTGGTGGTTCAATTCCCAGTCAGGGCACATGCCTGTGTGGCAGGCCAAGTCCCCAGTATGGGGCAGTGCATGAGAGGCAACCACACATTGATGTTTCTCTCCTCTTTCTCCCTCCTTTCCTCTCTCTAAAATTAAATTTTAAAAATTTTGTAAAAAAACTAGATTGTTTAAAAACAAATAAACATATATCTCTTTCCCAAGAAGTGCAATTACAATGTTTAATGTCTACGTAAGATACAGAAAAAAACAAGTGAACAAGTTTTTAGAGTTCATACTCAAATAATCACAAGGAATATTTTAAAAATAAATTTGAATTCAAATGTCTATACAGTTAAAAACACATTTAAATTAACTCTCCCCATGTGAATATAGTAGCATGTATACCACGTTACACAACAGCCTATAACAAGTTGTCTCTCTATTATAAAACAGTCCTTTAACACAGGTATGTTTTAAAACTAATAGCATTTGTGTGTGTGTGTGTGTGTGCACACACACAAATGTGAGAGAGAGGAGGAATTTCTACTGTACCTATCACTGTTAAAATAAGATATAAATATTGTATTTTTTTACCTCAGAACAGAATAACTTCTCCAATTATAACAAATACAGAGGAAAAACAAGCACAATCTACATACATCATGCAGCCTTCCACCATCACACGGTTCACACTTACGTGGACAGCATATCCAGAGGCAGTGTCAGTAGTGAGCTCACGGAGCCAGTAAACAAGCACTTGTAGATACGGCCTACCAAAAAAGGGCACAACAGTACACAGTCACAACTCCTGTCATGAATCACATAGTTAGCTGCTTATAGAGAACCTATCCACGTGGCAGTGATGAATGTAGCCCAGCCCAATTTGGAAAAATGATGGGGAGCAAGTCGGCACAGAGGAACCGGGCCCACAGATCAGTTTTCCCATGGGGAATCAGGCCTGCATTGTATCTAGGCTGTTTTGAGGCTTGCTTTTTGCTAAAACTCCCTCACTCTGAATTGAGGCAGCAAAGGTTTACTCCACATCTTTAAAGTAACTCCCTAAAGTCTGTGCTAACCTCCCAAATATGGGGTGTAACCAGTTCAACCACTTTTTTCCCTTGCATCTGCAACATTCCCTTCTTTGAAGTAATTAGCAACATTCTTTCCCCTGTTATATGTAAAAGGTCATCACCTAAAGCGAACCTGTGCATTGTAAATGAGGACCATCCTAGATACAATGTACCTAGAAAAGCAATAAAAGCTTGTCTAGGCAGAGGTAAGGGCCCTCTCTCACTTAGAGAGCAGCCATGCCAGCCCTTTCCTCCATAGGCTTCTGTAGTCTGTGTGAATTTGTCTGTCTGAGCCGTAACACAGACCCTGCTGGCTGAAGTCCGCATCAGTTGCTCATCTAAACAGAGGTGAAGTAACACCATGAATGCCACTGAAATAAACATTTAGTCTTTGCAAGGCTGAGTCTCAAAATACTAAACTTTTAAAAAAATAGTCAAGCATAAATATACTAACAGTGAAGATAAGTTACACAAATATGTTTAAAGTTTAGATTGTAGATTCCCTTGCTTGTTTTTATTGAAAGCTTACATTTCTGAAAAGACAAAAAAATCTAAGGTACAAATATCGCCGAAAACGATACGGAGAATTTTTTTAACCTAGAATTCTAAAACTCCTTAAATCTGGCTCATGAAATTAAAGGGTTTTGGTTTTGGAAGTACAGATTTTCTTTTAATTAAGAGGACTTCTCAACAGAGTATATGCTCCAATGCGGTGAACAGGAAACTAACAACTATTTTTTAAAAACATAGACTCAAGGGTCCTCGAAAAGAGAAAATCTTAAATCTGGCTATGAAGGGAAAAGACAAGGTATGGGTGAATGCACAGCCATCATCCCCCTACCCTCTCAGTCAGAAAAGGCAGGAATAGATTTGAAAGTGGGGGCAAAGAGGAAACAGTTGAAATTTCCTGTAAAACCAGAACCTGTATATTAGTTTAAACCTTCCCTGTAGCCTTGTATCAGAAATTTTCAGTGACTTGAATGGCACTTTTCAAAAGCCAAGTCAAAATTTTCTGTAACAGATATAATTCACATGTGTATATAAATATTCAAAGCAAGTACACTTGTAACAAAGTAAAACTTATGACAAACTACATGTCTGCAGATAGGAAAATGAACTCATAAATGATACACTTCCTTATTACAGATTTCTATGCATTCACTAAAAAATAAGGTAGCTCAACATGTACCTACATGGAAAGACAGCCAGGATACATTGCTAACTTAAAGAAAAAAAATGTGACAGAATATGTACTTGTGTCCTATAATTTAGATTTTGATTGTGTATCTATAAACAAGTCACAACAAAACAAAAATCGAGGTTCTTAACTGTGTTACTCAAATCCTCTTAAGTCCTAACTTAATTTTTGATTACTTGATCTACTGATTTCAGAGGTGTTGAGTCTTCCATTATGACTGTGGAATGTTTTACATGTTTATATATACACATGTATATATGTGTATAGATATATACACATATATACTTATATATAAATGTGTGATATATCTATAATTGATTTTGCTACCTATATATATAACTGATTATGCTATTACAGTTTTCCCAATTTTCCCTCCTTTGCCCCCCTCTACCCAGCATCTTCCACTCCCTTGGCAACCCAACCCCCTAAGTTCATGTCCATGGGTCATGCATGTAAGTTCTTTGGCTACTCCATTTCATGTACTCTTCTTAACATCCCCTCCTGCCTATTCTGTTACAACCAATTTGTGCTTCTTAATCCCTGCACCTTTTCCTCCATTCATCCCCTCTCCCCTCCCAACTGGTAACTATCCAAATGATCTCCTTATCTATGATTCTGTTTCTGTTCTGCTCGTTTGCTTAGTTTGTTTTTTAGATTCAATTGTTGATAGTTGTGATTTTATTGCCATTTTAATACCCATATTTTTAATCACTTTTTGTTAAATAAGTCCCTTTAACATTTCATATAATAATGGCTTGGTGATGATGAACTCCTTTAGTTTTACCTTGTCTGGGAAGCACTTTATCTATCCTTCCATTCTAAATGATAGCTTTGCTGGATAGAATTATCTAGGTTGTAGGTCCTTGCTTTTCATCACTTTGAATACTTCTTGCCAGTCCCTTCTAGCTTGCAAAGTTTCTCTTGAAAAATCAGCTGACAGTCTTATGGGAATTCCTTTGTAGGTAACTCTCTGCTTTTCTCTTGCTGCTTTTAATATTCTCTCATTATCTTTAACCTATGGCATTTTTAATTATGATGTGTCATCGTGTGGTCCAATTTGGATCCACTTTATTCAGAACTCTGTGCTTCCTGGACTTATATGTCTATTTCCTTCACCAAATTATGAAAGTTTTCTTTCATTATTTTTTCAAAGAAGTTTTCAATTTCTTGCTCTTTCTATTCCCCTTCTAGCACCCCTATGATGTGAATGTTGGTATGTTTGAAGTTACCCCACAGGCTCCTTACCCTATTCTTGTTTTTTTGGATTCTTTTTTCTTCTTGCTGTCCTGATTGTTTTTTTTTTTCTTCCTTATGTTCCAAATCATTGATCTGATTCTCAGCTTCATCCACTCCATTAGAGTCCCTGTAAATTTTTCTTTATTTCACTTAGTGTGATCTTCCTTTCTGATAGGATCATTTTTATGCTGTTGAAGTATCCACTGAGTTCCTTGACCATACTAATTAACCAGGGTTTTGAACTCTGCATCTGATAGATTGCCGATCTTCATTTATTTTTTTTTCTGGAGTTTTGTTCTTTCATTTGGGCCATATTTCTTGGTCTCCTCATTTTGGCAGCCTCCATGTGTTTGTTTCTATATAGTAGGTAGAAGTGCTCTGACTCTGTCTTAGTAGCATGGCCTAATGTAGATAAGCCACTCTTAACCACTTGGGCAGGCCTATAAGTTGGATGTGGCAGAGCCTTAGTAGTTCATCACCTGGGTAGGGCAACTCCTTTCAACCAGGTTGATGGAGTCTTGGATATGGTACCACTGCTGTGTGTGGGAGGGCTGAGAAAAGGAACAATGACTGCTACCTGAACTCTGGGTTTTGTCTGGGAGAAAGCTATCACCTAGTCTCTCAGACTGATGCCAGACACTGCAGTTCCTCCTCATATGCCACTGGTGCCCTTCCAGCTACTGCCTCGGTGCTAGAGCCTAGAAGTAGCGAGTCTGAGTAAGTCTATGCAGGCCCTTTAAGAAGAGATGGCTGAGAATCCCAGTTTCTTCCACTGCCCCAATCCGCACTGGTTTTTACAGCCAGAAGTTATGGAGACTTATCTTCCTGGCACCAGAACCCTGGGCGGGTGGTCTGGTGTGGGGCTGGGATCCCTTGCTCCCAAGATATTCCTCCCAATTTTTATCCACCACATCTGAGTGTGGGACCAGCTAGTTCCATGTCTCCAAGGCTCTCTGCCCCCACTACCCATCTGAATGAATGTGACTTCTTTAATTCCTTGTTTGACTTTCATATAGCTCCATTTTCTGGTGGTTCTGAGTGACAGTGGTTTTATAGTTTAGTGGTAATTTTTGCTGTTATTATGTAAGGAAGTGAGCCATGTTTACCTACACCTCCATCTTGAGCAGAAGTTCTGCTCTACATGTTAAGTTCTGTTTTCTGGTACATAAAAGTTCTTAAGTTTTAATGTATTAGTGAACTATACCTTTTATTTATATGAAATATAAGGCTTTTCCCTATTTAAAGCTTTTCATTTTAAATGTATCTAGCTAACTAATACTCTCCCTGCCTTTTGTTAGCATTTGCTAACAAATCCCTCTAGCATTAATCTGGGCTGACCTGTACATAATTATCACTTGTAGTGGAACACTTTTAAATGTATACAATTGTGAGGTGCTATCCCACATAAGAGAAATCTAAACTCTTATAATTACAAATGTTGCAATCTTATCCTTTCCTCTCTTTTACTCCCTCCCTCTGTCCTCTCTTCCTGTCTTTGCTGTCTTTTGTTGGACTTTACATATTTTACTTATTGTTTCCTACTCCCACTCTGGAGAATAAAAACTGATCTTATTTCTATTTTTCTAGCAGTTACCTTTAAGTTTTGTTTTGGTATTATTACAGTAAAATTTACATAAACCTGAAGTATATGTTTGGGTAAATTCTTATATACTCTGTTTTGCTGGGTATAATGCACACTTTTTTGCCCAATTTTTTTAGGCAAAATAAGGATAGTGCACTACATATGTGTAATACTCCATATCTATATAGATGATTTTCATTATTTTATTTATGCTTATGCGTTAAAAGTGTGACTCTAAAAAGCAATAACGATATCCGTATGCAAAATAATACCCTGGAATAGGAGACTCAGTTTTGTTTCTAAATATAAATAAATAATTAAATAAATAAATTAAAACACAAGATTTTTTCCTAAACATTTGGGCCAAGAACATGGGTGCACATTATACTCAGGAGAACATTATACACAGCAAAATACAGTAGGTACATATCTAGATAACTGACACCCAGATCGAGATATTCAAGATTTCTAGCTCCCCAGAAGGCTCCCTCAAGTCCCTTCCCAGTCATTATCTCTGGCAAGAGATAACTTGATCTCTATTACCATAAACCAATTTGGCCTATTTTTAAATTTCACATAAATGCAATCATACACTCCATACTCTTTTTGTGCCTGGCTTCTTTTTCTCAAAGAAGTAAAATTCACCCATGCTATTTCATGTCACAATACTCAGCTGTTTTTTCACTGCTATGTAGTATTCCACTGTATTGGATAAATCACAATGTATCCATTCTACTATTGTTGGTAGGCATTTGGGCGGTCCCAGTTTAAAACTACTATTACCAAAGCTGCTGTGATAATTCTTATACATGTGTCTTTTACCAGATACAAAGCTCTCAGTTCTGTTAGCTATATTCCCAGGAATGGGTGCATCATAAGGTAGTTGTAATATTTACCATGGATAGATACCACCAGTTTTCCAAAGCAATTATATCATATATACTCCCACCATCAGTGTACACATGTTCCAGATGCTCCACATTCTAAGAACCACTTGGCATTGTCTTGTCTTTTAATTTCAGTAATTCCTGCTGAGTACATACCAATTTTGTGCATCTCCCTGATGACCAACAATGATTAGCACCTTTCCTTGTGTTTATTGGCTTTTAGATAGTTTTTCCAGAAACACCTACTCAAATCTTCTGTCCACTTTTTAACTGGGTAGTCTTTTTTCTTACTGATTTACAAGAGTTCTTTATGAACTCTAGATACAAGTCCTTTATCAGATATGTGTAATGTAAATATTTTCTCTCGGTGGCATGCCTTTCTCTCATAAGAGTATTTGAGCATGAAGAAAGTTCTTAATTTTAATTAAAGTCTAATTTATCAGTATTTTCTTTTATGGTAATTCTATATTGTTTTAAAAGATTTTGGTTTTACACATTTAGGCTAATGATGCATCTCAAATTAATTTTTGTGTGAGGTATAATATAACAATACGGTTCATTTCCCCCTATAGGGCCATCCAAATGGTGCTATATCATTTACTGAAAACATCATCTTTTCCACTGAACAGTGGTAGCACCTACTATTAATCAAGTAACAGTGCAGGTGTGGATCTAGTTCTGGACTCTATTTGGTTACCTCTATATTTGTAATGCATAGTTACACTACATTTTTCCTATCTAAATCTAGCCCATCTCCCACAAATAAGACAACTCAAAAAATTCTCATTTTTATCCTGCCCTCACAATTTTTACCATGTTAAGATAATCTAGAATTTTAGTTACAGGCTGTTCCCTAAAAATTATTGATTATTATAGATTAATAATAACTATAATTTAGCTATAAGATACACTTGTTTCTTTTTCTTTATAGTTCACATTTTTCACTTTTTGACTCCTTGCTCATTTAAGAAAAGTATATATTCTCTTACACATTTTTCATAAGTAGTTTGAGATGATAAACTTTCTAAGCCCATGCATCTATTGAAATTTCTGTATATAGCCCTTCCATCTGAAAATTTGTGGATAGAAGATTTTAGGTTCAAAAATTTTCACAAATTTTGAATTTTGTCTTCTAGCATTCAATTTGAAGTTTATGCTTTCTTCTGCTTTCAGAAAAAACATTCACTGATTTAAGCCTGACATCAACCTGATTTTCATTAATTTGTGGGATAATTTGGAAGTAAAACATCTATTCACCACCTTACTCAGAACTGAAAAACTTTAAAAGGTATTCAGGATTTTGAGTCTCTTTCTTTTATCATGATCAGCTCTCTATCAATTGGCAAGACATCTATCATTTCTTCATCTCCATTATCTCTTTTATTCTGGAACTACTTATCAGACAGATACTAAAAAAAACTTGATGTAACCTCCATCTCTCAGTTTTTCCCTCATACTTTCGACTTCTTGTCTCTTTGAATTACATCTTAGAGAGCTCCTTGCTCAGTCTTCTAGTTCGCTAATCTCTTATAAATAAAATAGTACCTACTCAGCTATTTGGTTTATCTCCCAAGATTTTCATTTTCATAAATTATCAAGTTTATTTTATTTTAAGGAGACATGAAAATATTAATCATATTTATTCAAATATCTCATTTGTACTTAACTCAAAAGAATCATATCTATATACTCTGGTATCATACATCCCTCTCCATGTCCTCAAGAACAACAAAGAACTAAAAAAGTACCAATTAAGGGTTAGTGTATGAGCCTTCCTGAAAGCTTCCTGTATTTAAAAGATAAGTCTCCCAATTATTCAAGACCATTTGATACAAGTGACTTTTAAAAGCAAGGGAAAATCTCAAAAGAACCCATTTTTGGCAATCCCTGAAAGCTCTAACAAAGTCCAAGGGGTAAAATTTAAGTTCCTTCCAACTACGATTTGATTTTGCTTTTTCAATTCTTTCATGAACTTTTATTGTCAACCTCTATATGGTATAGTTTTATTTCCCACATTCATTCAAGAAACTGACCTATTAAAAAATACTTCTTAATTCAGGTGAATAATGTTTTTTTCCTAAGTGAGGCTTTCCTAATATATAATATTATAACATCAAATAATTAAATATCATTTGAACAAAAATATGATGCAATATTACTCTACATTATTAAGTAGTTACGCAATGTTGAACAACCTCCAACCACAGAGGAACGAATACTCACATGCTGTAAGAGGAACGACTCCCAACCATGCGAAGGCCACAAGTGTATAATGAAACCAGTATCGTATTGCAGTGCCAATACTTGTAACCAGTCCAGCAAATATGTCTTGGATTGGAAGCCGTGAAGGCATATCTGGGGAATAAACTATTATAGGAAAAAAAGTACATATAATTTCACAAAGATTGAAAAATAATTTAATTCATAAATATAAAATAGGCATGTAAAGTTATCTTAAAATTTTTAATGATTTTACTTATTCATTTTTAGAGAGAGGGGAAGGGAGGAAGAGCAATATCGATGTACCAGAGAAACACCAATTGATTGCCTCCTCCAGACTCCCAACCAGGAACCTGGCCCTCAACCCAGGCACGTGCCAGGACTGGGAATCGAGCCAGCAACCTTAAGCTTCACAGTAGGACACCCACCCCACTCAGCCATACCAGTCAGGGCTTAACTTTCAATATGTGTATTATACTTAGTATTTTTTCCTATAAAAAAATGAACATATACTTGTAATAATACCACATTCGTATAGAAACCAACAAAAAAGACCTCTGAGCAGGGGGAAAGAAATTCAAGAGAAGTCTGCATCCCTCACTCATCGCTATGAACTTCATGAAAAGCTAATTTACACATATTTTAACATTCAAACAATGTAATTATCTGGTTTCCCAAATAATAAAAAATCAGATAAAGTAGACATGAATAAAAGGTGAAGCTGATGACAAGTCATCAAGAATAAACTTTCCTTCCAATTACAAGCCTTAGACATAGTACTCAAAAGCACAACAATCTGCAGGAGATTCATTTTATGTGAAGCAAACAGACAACTGGCATTTGTTAGCTACCTACTCCTCAATTTTAGCACAATTAACACTGCAAATGTAAATTCAGGTCTTCCCAACTTTCTGTAAGGTACTGTTCAATACACTGAGAGAAAGTGGTTTTGCCATATTTTAGAAAGATTTTGTTTTTAACGGCCAAATGTAAACCACTGCTCAAACACAGTTATCTGCAAAAGAACATAAAAGAATACCCCTTTCTCCAGTGAGGCCAAAATAAGAATTATGATATGCAGAATTTTTAAATCAATGTCTAAGATTTATGAGCATACTATCATAATACTGTTCCCAACTACAAACATTAAGGAATAAACAATCAACAAACAGCAACTTTTTACAATATACCCACAAAGATCAATTACTTTAAGAAGATATCTGATAAACATAATAAGACATTAACCCAGAGAGTTTTTGAGAAAACAAAGAATACAGCATATGATTGTCAAATGAAAATTAAAATTTACTGGCCTCAAAGTAAAAAAGCTCACAAGTATTTCTAATGAAACTTCATAAAGATATTCAATTATTTAGTCTTACAGTTTGCTATAAAATTAAGCTATAAATTCTTTATGCCCTACCAAAAAAGGCTATGAAACAACAGAACTGATATTTGATGGTGAATATTAAGCTCCAAAAGTGAAACTGTAATGACTTTAGTAAACTGTGCTCACCACAAAAAAACAAAGTAAAACTAATACTAATTAATATTCAGCAACTCAAGATACTAAAAACAAACAAACAAACAAATAAAAAAAGTTTGGGGGAAGAGGGCAATGTACAGAGATCCAGAATAAAAATTATGCTTCAAATTCTTCATACTTTGCCAGTTATAATCCTTTAACTGTTTACTATGAATATTAAATATAATCAACGGGTACAGGAATTATAAAATATAGTTGAAATTTTAAAGACCTGCAAAATATTTACTATATGCTTAAAAAATATTGAGGTTAAAAAGTCTCATTTTAAAATGTGAGTTAAGTCCTGGCTGTTATGGCTCAGTGGACTGTGTGCTGGCCTGAACTCAAAGGGTTGCAGGTTTGATTCCCAGTCAGGGCACATGCCTGAGTTGCAGGCCAGGTCCCCAGTAGGGCGCACGTGAGAGGCAACCACACACTGATGTATCTCTTCCTCTCTTTTTCCCTCCCTTCCCCTATCTCTAAAAATAAATAAATAATATCTTTTTTAAGAGTAAAAACTTTGTCTTTATTATTATTACTATTTCAACCTACACACTTTTAACTCAAAAGATACCCCAAATTTGAACAGTGATATATTTGATAATATTAAGGCATTATTAATTTTCATAAACATAATAGCTAATGTTTTTCAAAAAGAGCCCTTACTTTCTAGAGATACATACAAAAATATGTACCAATAAAATTATAAATAATGGCATTTGCTCTAAAAAACCAGAGAGGTGGAGAATAAGAGCATAAGTAATGCCATGTAAAGGCCATGAGATGGAAACAGGTCAAACTGAGTGATGTGTACATGCGGGCTCGTTACGGCTTTACATACATTTGAACCTGTCCATAATAAAAAGAAAAAAGAAACATCAATCTCTCTTTCTCTCTCAATATGTAAGAGCTGATACGTATTTCTGAAAATATTTTCTACAACACTACAGCAATACTTTCCATTACTACCACAGACAAACTAATTGAAAACAGGAGTTGTTACATACTCATTAAATACCCTCATACAACCAGTTATAACCCAAAAAAGCAGTGTAAACTTCTAAAGAACTTACTTGGTGTGAAAGCAAATCTGTGCTTGCATAATTCACAGTATTCTTTTCGACTGTGCTTCAGCCACTGAACTAAGCTGCAATTACAAATACACTCATAAGTACAATATTTATTACAAGGAAATGTGAAGATTTCATTGAAAATGAACATATTTTTGCCATGTATAATGTGCACTCACGTTTTTGTGGTCATTATACATGGGATTATTATACCCACGTATAATGCACATCCTTATTTTTCCCTAAAAAATTTGGGCAAAAAAGTGTACATTATACATGGCAAAATACGGTAATGTTCTGTTTTATTAATATGTTACATTTCATAGAGCTTTTACACTTTAAAATATTCCAAAATGTTTTAATAACAGATGCCTGCTAAGGTACAAAGCACTAACAGTAAAGATAAAAACAGTATGTACTACAGTAAAAGACAGAAAACTGTACTTGAACAACAATTAAATAAAAAAACAAAACAAAACAATATGTACTCCTACTATCAAAACAGTTCAACTGATTTAAATTGAAATCTCAAAGCTAATTGAATATGAAAGAATCTCCAAACATCAACAAGAGTTCTGGTCTGGTAATACCCTAGGGCATAGGTCTGAATTCTAGTTCTGTCACTAACTTGCTGGCTACGTCGTGACCTAGCACAAGTTAGTTAACCTTTCTATGCTTCAGTTTCCTCATCTACATAATAACTACTCTACCTCACATTTTTGTTGTAGGATTAATGAGTAAAGGTATGTAAAAGCACTGAGCACTACCTGGCACAAAGCATTTCACAATGTAAGTAAACTATTATCATGCCAAGCAAAACTAGAAGACCATTTCCAATGAACAAAATCTTTCCACGGCAGAAATAAATGAACAGTAGTCACATACGCCTAGAAAATATACCAAATGACACAGCACAGCAATAAGGAATATGGGTAATTTACAAATTTCACAACAAAAATTTCTTAATAACTAATTATAGAAAAAGTTCATTGAAACAATCCCTCTTATATAGATGACAAAAACTAAAGATCAGACATAAAATTTTCTAAAAGGATGACTCACCATTCCTGATGGATGAACTTAATACTGCCAGTACAAACACAGGGATGATAAAGAGGTTTCTCAGGTGTTCCTTCTGACCGACACACTCTACATATGTCTGTTAATGAAAAACAAAATTTGTATTATCTTTGGTTATAATTTTTAAAAATAACAGACCACCAAAAATTAAAATATTTCATATTAAAGCAAGAGCCTATCACTTGGTAAAACATCAATCAAAAGCACGGAAAACCAAAAAAAAAAAAAACTGTCATTAGGAGGATAATCAAGTATATATGTGAAACTAAAAAATTTCCTAATATATAAAAAAGGTCAATTGTTCCTTGTATGAGCTCTGTGAGGATATCAAAGTTGACAATGAGTTCTTACTTAAAACTGCACTCTTCATAACTAACAAATACTAAGTACAAATATGCAAAATCAAGTCACATTAGTATCCTAATAGTTCAGGGCCTAAATCCAGTCCTAACACTTAACACTGTATAGAAACACATTTAAGGACTTCTTAACACAGTAACAGCAGTGGGCAGTACCAGGGATTTTCCTTTAGCTTTACCTCACTCCACCAGAGGGACAGCTAGAAGGACACAGGAGCACACATGATTGGGAGGCAGAGAGGAGCATTACCCCAAGATCAGGAAGATGCCAGGCCAGGGAGAGAAAAGCTGGAGGTCACTTTAAGCAGAAGCTACCCCAGCTCAGGGCTACCGAGTCAGGAGCCAGGGGGCAGCAGCTCATCCCTCACCCTCCTAACCACTGCCCTAAGTAGCTCTTGGACACATCTGTGCGTCTTCTCACCAAGGTAGCCGGGAGTGTCCTGATAAGCACAGCGGAGTAAATCACGGGGAAGGAATCGCAACAGATTCACCACATTCACTCGCTCCTTAATATTCCTCCTGCAGGACCACCTACCAAACTTTCAACCATTTTCTCTGCGATCTGCCAGGGTCAAGTGCCAACCCCAAGTGGGCAATCTGAGGGGTGATGGACAGTGTGTAGAAGGGGCATGGACTTAAGGCAATCTTTGATCTATTCTCCTACAGGGAACTCCCCTTAATGCAGAATAACTGCAATCCATACTCATTACTAACGGATTTAATGGGCCCCAGCACCCGCTGAGCAGTGTGGCATGCAGTCCCAGACATGTTAAGGGCATCACAGACTTATGACTGCTCAATCTCGGGCAGCTGAATGGAACCTGTCGAAGTTGAGGAACACCAAGCACTCAGCATAGCCTAAATTGTAAGCAGGCAAGTCCTCCTGGTTATAAATATACCAGACAAATCACGCTGCAAAGGAAACCCCACACACAGCCACCCATGAAAGAGCAATCCATGTGCCAATCACATTCCTGCCAGAGTGGGATGAGGGTTGTCTAGACTATGTCAAATTAAGCTCAGACTCCATTGTCGTGCCTTTCAGCAACCACCAACCAAAGGACATTGTGGCAGGTCACGGGAATAATGTGTGCGGTTTGCATGGTTTATACTGAGAACTACACTAGATCTGCATGTCTTCAAACCTCCCACTTTCACTTTCATCCTTGATTAATTAAAGCATTCTTGGCAAAAAGCCAAGATTCTGGTCCATTTTGCATTGATCCAAGACTCTGAACTCCAGTGGTACAAATAGGAACCAGAACTCCAGCCATCCAGCCTAATCTACTTCCGAGAAGTTCTGACACAGAAAAAAATAGAATCACACTTGCATTGCATGATACCTAGCACCAGCATCCAGGCTTGCATGTGCTTTGAGCACTCTAATTTTCCCCAAGTGCATACTTCAGCCCATGGAAACTCAGCTAAGAGCCAGGAGAGCACAGAGGCAGGGGGCAGGGATGGGGACCAAGGTTCCCCTACCATGGACCAGCGCCAGAGATCCAAACACGGCAATTTAATTGCACCAAATTCAATACCCTGCACTGAAGCCAGGATTACCCCAGCTACCAGCATCATATTTGCCATGCAATGGATCATCCTTGAAAGAGTTAAAGTGGATTCATTTCAATTTCAGGATCTCAAAGAAGTCCAGTACCGTTTTTCACCACTGCTCTCCTGAGTCGTGAATAGGTAATTTGCGCCTCTGCTGCCTTCCCTGGTTAGGATAGTTGATTATAAAGCTCTCTCCATGGAACCAAACCCGATTTCCAATCACCAGAATTCCCGAATACCACAGTCACCACCATAAGGCACTATGACTTCCACCTAAAACAGCTTATAAGACCATGGGACTCTCGATCGCTCTTATTATCTCGGACAGCAGCAGTCCCCAACCTTTTTGGCACCAGGAACCTGTTTCGCTGAAAACAATTTTTCATGGATGGGGTTTGGGGAATACGGGTAGGCAGAACTCAGGCAATAATGCAAGCATAACTTCACTCGCCCACCACTCACTTCCTGCTGCGCAGCCGGGTTCCTAACAGGTCATGGACCCGTGCCTGACCACGGCCCAGGGTTGGGGACCCCTGATCTAGAATTACCAGAGCCACTGGTACCCGAGAGCATGGGCTTGTTCTAACATTACCACAATTATCCAGGTAGGAGTGGAACAAGTGCTCAAAGCCATTCGCAACATCACCCAACCAACCACAAGTATTTGGATGGCCGGAGTTAACTTGAGCAATAGGCACTTGCTACTACTACAAGATCGGCCATGCAGGATGAATTGGGTACAAATGTAGGTAAGCAGGTCAAACATGGAGTGAAGCGGTCTCACCTTGCCTGTTTCCCCAGCCAACTCTCAGGGCAGCTGTGGATGTGGGTAGAGCACAGCAAGGATAGCATGGTAGGGGGTGTCCCTAGGCAGAACAGTGCAGAGGAAGAAGGCAGTGGGACACTGCGATCACACAAATTAGAATTGCCATTGTAGTCCTCCATAAACATGGTAACTGAGGCCACCACAAATGAAGCAATGGACTGGGGTAGGGCAGGGATTTTTCCTGTTGGCACACTACTGGCATCAGAATGCAAGGGCTATGCTGGGAGCAATATCCATCTAGGTGAGAACCATATCCAGGTGGGCTCGTCCTATGATCTGGAGCAGACCCACCAGGGTAGCCAGCCCCATGTGACTGTGGGGAGTTGTGGCAAACACCACATAACAGCCTGCTGGGGCAAAGAGGTTGGAGACACTGGACCTCCACTTAGGGGACTGAGGAATACACCTGAAATAAAATGGGACAAAATTTTCAGAAGACCAACCTTCTGAATTACAAACCAACAAACCAAAACTAAGCAAACACAACAAATCTAAATCAAGCCCAAGGCTCTGCCTAACACAGTCCAGCTAAAAAAACTGGGACTCACCCAGCCTCTGCAAGGTCAAAACTATTTTCGTTGTAACAGAAAGACATTGTCTGCCTTTTACTGTCATTGCCTTGCCAATATACAGTGGACGTTTCCAGATGCTACATTAAGACACTGATTGAATACAGCCACAGATGAAAAAATCCAGATGCCTCCCATTAAACCAGACAGTTAAGAGATTTGCAAATATAAATCCACTCTTCTCACCAATATTTTGATTTTAGAATATATAGTTATTTTCATTTTTTTAAAAAAGCTTATATTAACACATAATGGATATGTTAAGTAAATTAATAAATATTCCAATTTTTTGTTTTACTTTCTCATATGGAAATAAAAGCCCTTTTTAGACTTCATGTTCTCAAGTGTAAAGGGATCCTGAAACCAAAAAAGTTGAAGAACTACTGCTCCAAAGTAGTCGTTCCAATGCATTTTTTGCTTTTGGAACCTTTGGGGAAAAAATCAGAGTAACTCTGGTTCTCTCAAAATACACACATAAACAAATTTTTCATTATTTTATCAGGGGCTCCACAAGCCTCCATTGAGTCTATAAAAGGAAAGAAAAAAGAATATTAGGTATGTGAATTACTTTGCTTTAGAACCATAGAAATCTCTTACATAATTATAAAACAAACATCAAAATGGAAAAATAAGCAACACCCAAATCAATAACAAATCAAAAAAAATGAACCTATGCATATCAAACTTAACCACAAAAAAATTAGTTCAGAGATTTTAAAACAGTAATATGATTGATCATACATCCTTAATAGGCTATATTCTAAGATAGAAGGAACTGCAAAGAAATCATAAGCAGAATTCAGCAATTATGTTAATAATAACACTGATGGTCATTTTAAAACTTGAAGGATAAAGGCAATAAGCAGTATGATAGTGGTATTGTGTTTATGTGTTTAAGAAGTTATTTCTTAGAATACAGACATATTTACAGATAAAAAGATAGCATATCTTAGATTTGCTTTAAAATAATCCAAAGTAGGGGAGGGAGGTGAGATGTGCTTGTATCTATCGAATCTAGATTGGTTATAAGAAAGTTTATTAAATTAGTCTATTTTGTGTTAAAAGTTTTACACAATAAAACTTTTTTAAATATGCAAAAGTTAAATATTCAATCTGCAAATATCACAGCTGAACCTCTATTTTACTGACACTACCAAATCCAATTTTATCAATGAAGTTCTTTAGCAAGAGGGCTTAGCTTGTGATTTATATAACAGACACAAATTTGAAAATTCGAAACATTAGCAATTTTCTTATTTCCCTCGTTATGCTTTTAAAAATGTGATAAAATTTTCACTATCTTCATCAGGGGAAGAAAGCAAAATCAAATTTAAATAATATCTGTCTCAACATTCCTAAAAACCTATATCCATGCAACCAACAACCCAATTCTAATTTAAAATAATTTAATCTAACCATGGCTGGTGTGGCTCAGCAGAATGAGCGCTGGTCTACATTCAACTCCCAGTTAGAGCACATGCCTGGGGTTGCAGGCCGGGTCCCCAGTTAGGGTCATGCAAAAGGCAGCCATCGATGTAGTATCTCTCATACATCGATGTTTCTTTCCCTCTCCCCTTCCCTTCCTCTCACTATAAAAATAAATAATTAAAAAAATTAAAAGATAAAACCATTTAAGTGTCTCAAATATGGAATTTGTTCTAAAGGACAATATCACAAATCCCCGTTGCAGTATCAACTGTTTTTCCCACTGATGATGTGATAAGTGAGTTTTGTTCAAGAGGACTTTATGTATAAATTATTCCCCTAAATG